GAGGTTTTGTTGGGCAATGCTCAAGTGTTTAGACATGGGACAATAGTTGACATACTATAACTTCCCAACCACTTGAATTTTGGATCTGAGCACAAGCCATGATGCTCTTGAGGCCATACACTAGCTATGAATGAAAAGGGAAAGAGTTTTACTGAACAAGATCCTAAATGAAAAAACAGGTTGTTGTTTGGTGGGGTACCACTCAAGAACTTGGACATGCGAAAACGCTTGAGATACCATAACTTCCCACACACCTGGGTTTTGCATTCGAGCACAGGCCAGCATGCTCTTGAGCCCATACACTAACCATGCATGCAAAGATCAAGATGTTTGAGCATGCTCAATAGCAAGATAACCAAGTTGAGGACTCATAGGAAAATGCTCAAGAGCTGGAATAAGGAACACATACAATACCATAACTTTTTGCACACTTAGGTTTTGGATCTGAGCACAAGCCACGAGTATCTTGAGCCCATGCACTAACTGTTCATGCAAACGAAGGGCTTAGAAATTGCGTTGTATCTGAAAAACAAAATGAAAAGTTGAGGTTTTGTTGGGCAATGCTCAAGTGTTTAGTCATGGGACAATAGTTGACATACTATAACTTCCCAACCACTTAGATTTTGGATCTGAGCACAAGCCATGATGCTCTTGAGGCCATACACTAGCTATGTATGCAAAAGGAAAGAGTTTTAGTGAACAAGATCCTAAATGAAAAAACAGGTTGTTGTTTGGTGGGGTACCACTCAAGAACTCACACATGCGAAAACGCTTGAGATACCATAACTTCCCACACACCTGGGTTTTGCATCCGAGCACAGGCCAGCATGCTCTTGAGCCCATACACTAACCATGCATGCAAAAATCAAGATGTTTGAGCACGCTCAATAGCAAGATAACCAAGTTGAGGTCTCGTAGGAAACTGCTCAAGTACTGGGAAAAGGAACACATACAATACGATTACTTTTTGCACACGTAGGCTTTGGATCTGAGCACAAGCCACGATTATCTTGAGCCCATGCACTAACTGTTCATGCAAAACAAGGGCTTAGAAATTGCTTTGTATCTGAAAAACAAAATGAAAAGTTGAGGTTTTGTTGGGCAATGCTCAAGTGTTTAGACATGGGACAATAGTTGACATACTATAACTTCCCAACCACTTGAATTTTGGATCTGAGCACAAGCCATGATGCTCTTGAGGCCATACACTAGCTATGAATGAAAAGGGAAAGAGTTTTAGTGAACAAGATCCTAAATGAAAATGCAGGTTGTTGTTTGGTGGGGTACCACTCAAGAACTTGGACATGCGAAAACGCTTGAGATACCATAACTTCCCACACACCTGGATTTTGTATCCGAGCACAGGCCAGCATGCTCTTGAGCCCATACACTAACCATGCATGCAAAAATCAAGATGATTGAGAACGCTCAATAGCAAGATAACCAAGTTGAGGTCTCGTAGGAAAATGCTCAAGTACTGGAAAAGGGAACACATACAATACCATTACTTTTTGCACACTTAGGTTTTGGATCTGAGCACAAGCCACGATTATCTTGAGCCCATGCACTAACTTTTCATGGAAACCAAGGGCTTAGAAATTGCTTTGTATCTGAAAAACAAAATGAAAAGTTGAGGTTTTGTTGGGCAATGCTCAAGTGTTTAGACATGGGACAATAGTTGACATACTATAACTTCCCAACCACTTGTGTGCTTTTCGACCGGTGTGCTTTTCGACCGGTGTGCTTTTCGACCGGTGTGTTTTTCGATTGGTGTGCTTTTCGACCGGTGTGCTTTTCGACGGGTGTGCTTTTCGACCGGTGTGCTTTTCGACCGGTGTGGCTTTCGACCGGTGTGGCTTTCGATCGGAATGCTTTCCGACCGGAATGCTTTCCGACCGGTGTTCTTTTCGACCGGTGTGCTTTGCGACCGGTGTGGTTTGCTACCGGTGTGCTTTTCGACATGTGTGCTTTTCGACCGGTGTGCTTTTCGACCGGTGTGCTTTTCGACCGGTGTGCTTTTCGACCGGTGTGCTTTTCGACCGGTGTGCTTTTCGACCGGTGTGCTTTTCGACCCGTGTGCTTTTCGACCGGTGTGCTTTTCGACCGGTGTGCTTTGCGACCGGTGTGCTTTTCGACCGGTGTGCTTTGCGACCGGTGTGCTTTTCGACCGGTGTGCTTTTCGACCGGTGTGCTTTTCAACCGGTGTGCTTTTCGACATGTGTGCTTTGCGACTGGTGTGCTTTTCGACATGTGTGCTTTTAGACCGGTGTGCTTTTCGACCGGTGTGATTTTCGACCGGTGTGCTTTCGACCGGTGTGCTTTTCGACCCGTGTGCTTTTCGACCGTTGTGCTTTTCGACCCGTGTGCTTTTCGACCCGTGTGCTTTTCGACCCGTGTGCTTTTCGACCCGTGTGCTTTTCGACCGGTGTGCTTTTCGACCCGTGTGCTTTTCGACCGGTGTGCTTTTCGACCGGTGTGCTTTTCGACCGGTGTGCTTTTCGACCGGTGTGCTTTTCGACCGGTGTGCTTTTCGACCGGTGTGCTTTGCGACCGGTGTGCTTTGCGACCGGTGTGCTTTGCGACCGGTGTGCTTTGCGACCGGTGTGCTTTTCGACGTGTGTGCTTTTCGACCGGTGTGCTTTTGGACGGGTGTGCTTTTCGACCGGTGTGCTTTTCGACCGGTGTGCTTTTCGACCGGTGTGTTTTTCGACCGGTGTGCTTTGCGACCGGTTTGCTTTGCGACCGGTGTGCTTTTCGACATGTGTGCTTTTAGACCGTTGTGCTTTTCGACCGGTGTGCTTTTCGACCTGTGTGCTTTTCGACCGGTGTGCTTTTCGACCGGTGTGCTTTTCGACCGGTGTGCTTTTCGACCCGTGTGCTTTTCGACCGGTGTGCTTTTCGACCGGTGTGCTTTGCGACCGGTGTGCTTTTCGACCGGTGTGCTTTGCGACCGGTGTGCTTTTCGACCGGTGTGCTTTTCGACCGGTGTGCTTTTCGACCGGTGTGCTTTTCAACCGGTGTGCTTTTCGACATGTGTGCTTTGCGACTGGTGTGCTTTTCGACATGTGTGCTTTTAGACCGGTGTGCTTTTCGACCGGTGTGATTTTCGACCGGTGTGCTTTTCGACCGGTGTGCTTTTCGACCCGTGTGCTTTTCGACCGTTGTGCTTTTCGACCCGTGTGCTTTTCGACCCGTGTGCTTTTCGACCCGTGTGCTTTTCGACCCGTGTGCTTTTCGACCGGTGTGCTTTTCGACCGGTGTGCTTTTCGACCGGTGTGCTTTTCGACCGGTGTGCTTTTCGACCGGTGTGCTTTTCGACCGGTGTGCTTTGCGACCGGTGTGCTTTGCGACCGGTGTGCTTTGCGACCGGTGTGCTTTGCGACCGGTGTGCTTTTCGACGTGTGTGCTTTTCGACCGGTGTGCTTTTGGACGGGTGTGCTTTTCGACCGGTGTGCTTTTCGACCGGTGTGCTTTTCGACCGGTGTGTTTTTCGACCGGTGTGCTTTGCGACCGGTGTGCTTTGCGACCGGTGTGCTTTTCGACATGTGTGCTTTTAGACCGTTGTGCTTTTCGACCGGTGTGCTTTTCGACCTGTGTGCTTTTCGACCGGTGTGCTTTTCGACCGGTGTGCTTTTCGACCGGTGTGCTTTTCGACCGGTGTGCTTTCGCCGGTGTGCTTTTCGACCGGTGTGCTTTTCGACCGGTGTGCTTTTCGACCGGTGTGCTTTTCGACCGGTGTGCTTTTCGACCGGTGTGCTTTTCGACCGGTGTGCTTTTCGACCGGTGTGCTTTTCGACCCGTGTGCTTTTCGATTGGTGTGCTTTTCGATCGGCTCGACCGGTGTGCTTTTCGACCGGTGTGCTTTTCGACCGGTGTGCTATTCGACCGGTGTGCTTTTCGACCGGTGTGCTTTTCGACCGGTGTGCTTTTCGACAGGTGCTGGCCGGTGCTGGCCGGTGCTGGCAGGTGCTGACCGCTGCTGGCAGGTGCTGGTAGGTGCTGGCTGGTGCTGGCAGGTGCTGGCAGGTGCTGGCCGGTGCTGGCCGGTGCTTGCAGGTGCTGGCATGTACTGGCAGGTGCTGGCATGTGCTGGCAGATGCTGACCGGTGCTGGCAGGTGGTGGCAGGTGCTGGCAAGTGCTGGCAGGTGCTGGCCGGTGCTGGCAGGGGCCGGCAGGTGCTGACAGGTTCTGGCAGGTGCTGTCAGGTGCTGGCAGGTGCTGGCGGGTGCTGGCAGGTGCTGGCAGGTGCTAACAGGTGCTGGCAGGAGTGCTGGGCAGTGCTTGCAGGTGCTGGCGGGTGCTGGCTGATGCTGGCTGATGCTGGCTGGTGCTGGCAGGTGCTGGCAGGTGCTGGCAGGCACTGGCGTGCATATGAGTATTTCATGTGTGGATGCTAAACGCAGTCATCTAGCAAATGGTACCAGCACAAACCCACAATGCATCGAAGGGATTGCGTGAGTACCCAAAAATTTTACCCTGGCTGGAATGGGCAGCCATTGCAAACACCCTGTGAAATTTAGGATGGCCTATCGCGATACCCTGAGGCCAAAGGGTGTGGGGGGGGGCGGGAGAGGGGGGAGTGGGGCACCCTGACTAGAAGGGCCTCCCAAAACCTTTAGCCAGAGCCCTGAGAGGCACCGGTCCCTTGGTTTGACCGCCCTTCTCGGCCCCGCCATCCTGTCATACCGAGCCCAGTCCCTATCCTTTATGGTCTGTCCCAGCTTTGGTTCAGTACTGTACACCTTCCTCTGCACCAATTTAACAGTCCTTAACCAAGCTGTGACAAGTTCCAGTTCTCAGCAAAAGCCTTCACTTGGGCTGGTTACATTGTTCGCATCACGTTTCGATGGGGCTTTGCGAATACCCATTCTGGCAAAATATTCGCAAATTCCAACACGAGTTCCAGATTTCTGAGAACCGCAACTGTAGGGGCGAATTCCTAGAGCCCGCATCAGACTCGACCTTGCGTCAGACTCGCGACAAACCAAGACGCATTGCATGGAATTGCGAAATTGAGCCTGTGCACCACGTTGGACTACATGACTCTGACATGAGGTGGTCTGACACGAGGTCATATGAATTTGCCCTAAGATCCACACCCTTATTCAATCGTTTCGATCTTTGAGACTACCAGCATCAGGGCTCAAAGGTTAAAACCTAGTGTCTAGAGATTTTTGTTCGAGGCGTTCATTCCAGTTGAGGCAGCGGACAAGGCTGTCGAACCAGTCGTCGGTCTGGTCGGCCTTGTTGATGGTGGGCATGGGGAAGGCGCTCATCGCAATGCGCACCGAGTCCCCCCGCAGCAGCTGCTGCCTCTTCTTGCCGTCAAACGACACCCAGCAGCTGCTGCGCGCATCGTCCGGTACCTGAAGGGGCGGGAGCAGCAGTGGGCGGGTGCAGATGAAGCAGGCGGGCACATAGTATGAAGCAGTGCAGTGGAGCCACGCATTTGCGTTTGGCATTGGCATTTAGAGTTTGCTTTTGGCGTTAGGCATTTGAATGAGAACTGATGCCCTGTTCCCATGCACTCAGTGGTTACAAGCAGCAATACCTCCAGCCAGTTGAACGTACCTTTAACTCAAGCACAGCTGAGTCGGGCAGAATGATGGGGCGGAAGGAGAGAGAGTGAGGGCAGATAGGAGTGAAGATAATGCAGGGCACGTTCGGATGCACCTGACACAGGGAAGAAGAAAGCCACCACAACAAAGCAAAGCACGGCACGTGCAGCAGCACAGACAAAGCACAAGAAGTGACAGCTGAGACTTCTGGAAGCGTGAATGGGAGAGGGAGAAAAAAAAAAAAAAAAAAAAAACTCAAGCTCTTTGTGCATTACAATATTCCAGGTCAATGACGAACGACGCAAACACGGGGACCACAAGCTGCAGCAGTCGATGCTCCAACACTCTTGCCTTCAAGCATCATCATGTGTGGCAGTGTGCACGCAGGAAAGAGCGCATGGCAGTGAGCATGCATGATGGGCACATGGCAGCGATCATGCATGCACGAGCGCATGGCAGTGAGCATGCATGCACAGGCACATAGCGGTGTGCACGAATGCATGGGCGCATGGCAGTGTGCATGCATGCACGGGCGCATGGCAGTGTGCATGCATGCACGGGCACATGGGAGTGTACATGCATGCATGGGCGCATGGCAGTGTGTATGTGGGCACAAGCGCATGGCAGTGTGCATGCATGCACGGGCGAATGGCAGTGTACTTGCATGCATGGGCGCATGGCAGTGTGTATGTGGGCACAAGCGCATGGCAGTGTGCATGCATGCACGGGCGAATGGCAGTGTACTTGCATGCATGGGAATATGGCAGCACAGCGCACCATGGAGCCGCCAGCAGCGGTGGAGTAGGCAGTGCTCCCCGTTGGTGTGGCCACGATCACCCCGTCCGCTTGCACCTGCGCACACGCCCTCCCCCCCACCAGCGCATGGCAGTGCAGACCACCTCCGCCAGGAGGGCAGAGGGCGGTGAGGGGGGGGGGGGGGCACACGCAGGAAGGAGTGAGTGGCAGCACGAGAGGTGGGAGAAGGAGGAAACGCCATAACACAGACGAGCAGGATGCACAGGCTGGAAGGACAAGACAGATGCAATGGCTGGAAGGACAAGACAGATGCTATGGCTGGAAGGACAAGACAGATGCAATGGCTGGAAGGACAAGACAGATGCTATGGCTGGAAGGATAAGACAGATGCTATGGCTGGAAGGACAAGACAGATGCTATGGCTGGAAGGACAAGACAGATGCTATGGCTGGAAGGACAAGACAGATGCTATGGCTGGAAGGACAAGACAGATGCTATGGCTGGAAGGACAAGACAGATGCTATGGCTGGAAGGACAAGACAGATGCTATGGCTGGAAGGACAAGACAGATGCTATAGCTGGAAGGACAAGACAGATGCTATGGCTGGAAGGACAAGACAGATGCAACAGCCCTCTCACCACTGTTGCCACAGGAGGCAGTGAAACCTGCGCTCTCTTTCACCCGCACCACACTAAGTTCCCCCCCACCCCACCCCACCCTCCCCCCTTCCCTTGCCTTGGTGATGAGGCGGTTGCGCTCGTAGCACTCTATCTTGCACAGGTACGGGTTGGGCCCGCGCTCCACCACCACCTCGTTCACCACCTCATACGCGCGCCCCGCCCCCGCCCTGCCCGCGCGCACCACCTCGCAGTGCAGCCGCATGCGCAGCGTCACGTACACGCCCGCCCCCGCCGCCCGCCGCCCGCGCATCACGGCGTGCAGGTCCTCGTGGTGCTGCTCGTACTGGCGGGAGGGGCGGGAGGGGCGAGAGGGGCGAGAGGGGGCATGCGCAGGGATGAGAGAAAGAGGAACATGCCCGCTGCAGGCGCGCTGCGAGGAGTGGCTGACGAACCGGCATCAAGTGAGGGAACGGGGGTGAGCCACACAGGATGGGCGGTGAGGCATACAGGGTGGGCGGCGAGGCATACAGGGTGGGCGGCGAGGCATACAGGGTGGGCAGCGAGGCATACAGGGTGGGCAGCGAGGCATACAGGGTGGGCAGCGAGGCATACAGGGTGGGCAGCGAGGCATACAGGGTGGGCGGCGAGGCATACAGGGTGGGCGGCGAGGCATACAGGGTGGGAGGCGAGGAAGCCGAGGGAGCCGAGGTTGAAGGAGAGGAGAGGCGGCACGGAGGCAGGGAAGATGGTGGAGGCATGCAGCACAACGCCGTCCCCCCCCAGACACACCACCAGATCCACCAGCTCGTGCAGCTTCCTGCTCCGCCGCACATGCAGCCATGCGCACAGGCAGCCATGCACACAAGCAGCCATGCACACACATGCACACATGCATGCACACACGCAGCCATGCACAAACGCAGCCATGCACACAGGCAGCCATGCACACAAGCAGCCATGCACACACATGCACACATGCGTGCATGGACGCATGGACGCATGGACGCATGGACGCATGGACGCATGGACGCACACATCCAGATGTGTTCAGACCAGATGTGTGCGCAGATTTTACCAACACAGTGAGAGAGAGTTGGAGAAGGGCGGCATGAAGGAGAGGGAAAGGGGAGAAGGAGATGGGGAAGAGGGAGGTGGGGGAGGGAGGGGGGGCACTACTTGAGCTGTGGCATGCATTGGCAGGCAGCCCACCTGGCGTCGTGGGGGTAGAAGGTGTGAACGAATCCGAAGCCTGGCATGCGCGCCAGCACATCGTGCACCTCGGGCTCCACCACCACGCTCACACCCTCCTCCCGGTACAGATACTCCGCCACCTGCCGCCCACTCCACATGCCATGCCGCCCACTCCACATGCCATGCCATCCGTCAGCCCGCACCCATAAGCCCATGACAACCATGCACGCAGCACACAGAATACAGAATGGTGCAGATAAGGAGTGGAGAGGGGAAGGGCGCAACGGCACAAGGCGGAGAGACAGGAGGAGCAGCTGCACTCGCTCCCCTCCATGCCACTCACTGCCTGGCTCCCCTCCATGCCACTCACTGCCTGGCTCCCCTCCATGCCACTCGCCCGCTGCCTCCCCCCATCACCCCACCTACGTGGCTCCTCACTTCCCCCGCATGCCCTCCCGCACCACTCATCCCCATCACCCACACGCCTCACCTGCATGGCGTGCCCCATGCGCTCACCTGCATGGCGTGCCCCATGCGCTCACCTGCATGGTCTGCCCCATGAGCTCGCAGCCGAGCTTCTTGAGCAGCAGCACGGTGCGCGGGGGCGAGCGCCACAGCAGCATCTGCTGCTGCGTGGACGGGTGCGAGAAGGCCAGCGTGGCGTGGTCCACGTGCTCGCGCGTGCAGCTGACGCCGTCCGTGCGCACGAGGTACAGCTCCGCCTTGCGCCGCGACTGCACGCGCACCACCCCCGTTGCCGACGCACACATGTCGCCCCCCACGTACCCCTCCCCCCCCTCCCCCTCCTCCTCCTCCTCCTCCTCCTCCTCCTCCTCCTCCTCCTCCTCCTCCTCCTCCTCCTCCTCCTCCTCCTCCTCCTCCTCCCCCCCCCCCCCTTCTCGCCTGCCCCCTCTCTACTGCTTCCCCCACTGATGCTGTGAGCAGAGCCCAGACCACGCTGCACCCCTCCTTCACCACTGCCACCGCCGCCCACACTACCATTGCTGACTGTGCTGCCATTACTCGAATCACAGATGTTACCACCTGTAACACCACTGCCAATGTCACCACTGTTTAATGCTGCACTGCCGTTAGCACCAACAGCACCATTCTGGGGCATGTTGCCGTTAGAGGCAGTGCCAACTCGTGTGCCACCTGTGCCAGCCACGCCAGTCTCCACCACATCTCCCTCCCTCTCCATCCACGCCCCACCTTGTGCGCCCGTCACAGCCAAGACAGCCAAGACAGCCCTCTCCATGCCTCCACGGCCCGCGCTCCTCCCTTCGCTCCACCCTCTTTCTTTGCCCTGCCACCCCTGCCCCTCCCCCTGCCCCTCCCCCTGCCCCTCCCCCTGCCCCTCCTCCTGCCCCTGCTCCTGCCCCTCCCCCTGCCCCTCCTCCTGCCCATCCCCCTGCCCAGCCCCCTGCCCCCCCCCCCACCCCCTTGCGCATGCCCTATTGTCTCACCGGCCTCGCTCTTCCCCCTTCTGCGCGCTCGCTCTCCCCCCCCCTCTGCTCTCCCCCTCGCCTCTTGTGCGCTGCTTGCATTCCCCCGACCCCGCACTGCCCAGCTGCCGCCTGCACTGTTGCTGCCGCCCACCCTGCCTGCGCCCTTCCCCCTGCGCGCTAGCGCCGACCGCCTTGCGCGGAAGAACGACGCGAGGCCCTGCTGCTGCGCCTCAAGCGGACTCCGCACCACGCCCCTGTTGTCCGCCCTGCTGCTGCTGCCCCCGCCGCCCCTGCTGCCGCGCTCCCTGCTTCTGCCGCCCCTGCCTCCCGCTTCTCCCTCCGCCTCCCTGCTGCTGCCGCCACCGCCCGTGTCTCGTTGTCCCTCGTCTCGTTGCCCCTCGTCTCGTTGCTCCTCGCCACCGCCTGCGCACGTCTCCCCGTCGTCCGCCCACGGGCGCAAGTCCTCTGACAGGCGGTCCGCCTCCGCCTGCTGCCGTTTAAACGGGCTCTCGCGCCCCTCCGACTCTCCCCACGAGCGCCCGCCGCTAGCTTGTCCGCCCGCTGTTGTGCCCTCTCCCGCTGTGGCTGCTCCGCCAGTCACTCCGCCCTCCCCCACCGCCGCGTCCCCATCCCTCCGCGCGCCCTCGCCAGAGCAGCTCCATGGCTCGCGCAATTCGTCCCCTGCCGCCGCGCACACCGCCGCTGCCCGCCGTTGCAGGCGCGGAGCGGCAAGGCGGATGTGCGGACGAGGCAGGCGGAAGCCGACGAATACCGACTCGGCGGGCGTCGAGCAGCGCGCGAGGGACGTGCGCGAGAGACGAGCGCGAGGAAGGTGGCGGCGGTGAGGCGCGTCGTGTTGGGGACGCAGCGCAGGCAGGGGGGCGTGGGCGGATGACGCGGCACGGAGGAAGGCGTCGGAGGGAAGAGGCGTGGAGGCGACGGATAGGCGCGGGCAGCGCGGCACGCAAGCCAGGGGCGCGTGCAGGCGCGGTGGGGGGGGTGAGGGGAGAGAGGCGGGGGGGGAAGATGTGCGCGGGAGAGAGCAGGCGTAGCGCGGGGAGAAGGCGGCGAGGCCCGGCATGGCAGTGCGGGTGGCGAGGGGCGAGAGCGGCTGCAGTCGCACCTCGGCCGTGCGCGCTACGGCGATACAGACAGGTTGCAGCCACCACACAGTGTGGCCAGCAGCCGTCGCATCAGAGGGCGGGCACTGGATGGGCGGTGGGCGAGAGAAGTGAGTGACAGTCCTCTGGAATTCCAAATTCGCCACTCGTTGCAAGGCTCGTTGACAGCGCCCAGGACCAGGGGGAGCCACTTCCAAGTTCCAACCCCCCCACATGGCAAGCGTGCGGGCAGAGGTGCTTGATGGATGCTGTGGTGTGGATGTGTCAGCAGCGAGAGCTTTTATGTGGTACGTAGACACGTACTCATGACGTGGATGGATTTTCCCTCGATAAAGGAACGTGCCAAGTGATGTACAAGTAGCAAGGTTCTATGAAATTCACTACAACAAATCTTGCCCATCCCTCCCTCCTTGCACTAAGGTCCATCATATGTAAATACGATCAAATAATGAATTAATAGTTATACTGTATTACTTCATACGTACATGCCCATGCCTATCTGCTTGGGTTCCCTCTCGATCATCCAGCCAGGCCTGCAGCAAGCAACACACGGCCAAGGATGGAGGGGGTGGGAGTACGTGAGAGCAGGCAGCACGCACACACAACATTCAGTCCTCTAGAAAACGGACTTGCGACCAGCAAGCGCCTGTCAGTCACAGCAAACATTTCACTCACTTGTTGATTGCAAAGAATCTTGCACCCAAAGTTGCACGTTGCAACAGCCTTTCTCGTTGGGACAGTGGGATGGCCTCCGTCTGTTGTTGACAGGGAGCACGCAAGGAACCCCAAGAAGAGTGCGCAGCCAGTGGGGAAGGAGTGGCGCAGTCAAGACAAGGCAGTGCAGGCAAAACAGTGGTGGGCGGGAGATGGCAGAGGCGAGAAGCATGCATGGCATGTGATGTGATGAAGAGGAGGCTCACAGCGCAAGCACAGGCAAGAGCGTTCCTGCGGTGCACAGCTGGTGCAGGGCGCACCTGCTCGGGGTAGTGCACGCCTGGCATGGCGCTGCCTTCCAGAACGGCAACAGCGAACGCTGCTGTGGCCACGCCCACACTCCTGAGGCACAGCGGGGGAGGGGTGTGATGGTTGAGGCTGCAGGTGCAGCTGATGGCTGTGGCAGAACGAGATTTGGGAAGGCGAGGGCGTGTGGACAAGATAGATGGAGATGCTGTAGGATGCACTTGGCAATGGATGGGTGCACACGCACTCACACCCACACACACTCACACGCACACACACTCACACGCACTCACACGCACTCACACGCACTCACACTCACATGCACAGACACTCACACGCACACGCACTCACACGCACACGCACTCACACGCACACGCACTCACATGCACACGCACTCACGCGCACAAGCACTCACACGGACAGGCGGCGATGGGAGAAGAGGGCAGTTGTGGAGCGCCCACTCTCAGTCTCCAGATCAACCTGCCGGGGATCACGTCACACAAGGTTGGGGGGGTGGGAGTGAGGGAGGTGGAGAGGCGAGAAAGAGAGAGAATGAGGGGGTGAAACAGAAGGTAAGCCAGAGAAGAGAGATCAAATGGATCAAGGCAGCCCGTCTCTGCCCTCTCTGCACGTATCTCCGCGCCTCCATTCATTTCACTACTCCATTCATTTCACTGCTCCACCTCTCCGTTTGCCCACCTCCACCTCTCCCCCTTCAACCCACCCCACCCCCCCCCCACCCCTCACCCGTATGGCGACCCTCTCCCCCGCGGCCCCATCAGCGGCGCGCACCATGGGCTCCAGCAGCCCCGCCACGCGCTGCACCGCCGCCCGGTCCTGCAGCACGGACTGGGGGGAGGAGGGAGCGGAGGGGGAATACAGGGGGAATACAGGGGGAATACAGGGGGAATACAGGGGGAATACAGGGGGAATACAGGGGGAATTGGAGAGGATAAGTTGGGAAGGACGATGCAGATGCCGCAGCAGCAGGAGGGGGAAGCGGGGTGAGTGATGGTAAGACGGTGCTTGCATGCAGAGCAGAACCACAGCCACCTGCAGCACCACAGCCACCTGCAGCACCACACCCACCTGCAGCACCACAGCCACCTGCAGCACCACAGCCACCTGCAGCACCACAGCCACCTGCAGCACCACACCCACCTGCAGCAGCACACCCACCTGCGGCAGCACACCCACCTGCGGCAGCACACCCACCTGCGGCAGCACACCCACCTGCGGCAGCAGCGCCCGGAGCAGCTGCATGCCCCAGTTCCACATATGCGGCGCCGTGCCAAAGCGCGCCGACACCGTGGGCACGCCCAGCACCTCGTGGGCCGACACCACCTCCGGCAGGTTGCTGGGGGGGGGGGAAGAGAGGGGGGTGCAGAGGGACGAGCAGGGGAAGGAGCAGTGGAGAGGGAGAAGAGGTGGGCAGCTGCTGCGAGCACAAGCACAGCACACCAAGGCATGGCACGGCATGGCACGGCATGGCATGGCATGGCACGGCATGGCACGGCATGGCATGGCATGGCATGGGCCATGGCACGGCACAGCACGGCATGGCATGGCACGGCACGGCATGGCACGGCACGGCACTGCATGGCATGGCACGGCACGGCATGGCATGGCATGGCATGGCATGGCACGGCACGGCACGGCACGGCATGGCATGGCATGGCACGGCATGGCATCACTCACAGCAGGTACGTGCTCCTCTCCCCCACGCCCGGCCCAAAGTCCACCAGGCGCTGCCGGCTGTATGCTGGCAGCTGCAGGCGCTGGCCTGGAGAGGGGGGGAGGGGGGAGGGAGGACGGCATGGGAGGTGTGAGGCACAGGGGAGATAAGGGCAGGCGAGCAGGGGGGAAGAAGGGGAGGCGGCAGTTATCGTTCCACTCCGCTCTATTCGTCTCTCCACTTCCACTCCCTCTATTCCTCACCTCCCCCATCAATCCTGGCCTGCCCTCTTCCCCCTCCCCCCCCCACCATCCTTGAAGGCTGTGGCCGGCTCCCCCAGCAGGTGCAGGCTGGTTGCCAGAATGGTGGGGCCCGCGCCGCCCGTGCCCGCCGTGAAGTACGAGAAGCTGGGCGGAATGGGGTGTGAGGGGCGGATGAGGGGAAGAGGAATTCAGGGCGAAAGAGAGGGGTTGGGGGGACTAGCAGTGGGAGGAGGGAGAAAGGTGCGGAGGAATGAGAAGAAAGGGAGAGATCCAGATGGTGGGTGTGGGTAAGCGCACCGCAGGCTCTTGGGTTGAAGGCCGTGGGCTGCCTGCTGCTGGTCGCCTTCCCCCTCCATGCGCACCCTCTCGTCCGCCCCCAGGCGCACCAGCTCCGCCGCCATCACTGCACGCAGGGGCGCGCCGCGCACAGGCCATGCAGCAACGCACACATTCTCATGCTGCAATGCAGCACCGCACACACTCTCATGCTGCAATGCAGCACTGCACACATTCTCATGCTGCAATGCAGCACCGCACACACTCTCATGCTGCAATGCAGCACTGCACACATTCTCATGCTGCAATGCAGCACCACACACATTCTCATGCTGCAATGCAATGCAATGCAATGCAAGGCAAGGCCCCATCAGCAGTGGACAAGAGGGTCGAGGCATGCAGCTCTGCCACACAGCGACATGGGGCGTCAACCAGAGAGGCTGTGCTCTCTTACCCCAGAACTACGCCATCTCTCTTCACCGCCCCCTTCCTCCCCCATCCTCACCGCTATCCGCCCCTCCCCATCCCCCATCACTCCCCCAACAACCCGCCTTGCGCCCATGTGGCCACATCTTCCCCCCCTGCCCGCACGGACGGTTGCTGAGGCCGGGGTAGATGCCGGTGGTGGTGATGGCCGGCACAGCCGCCGCCACCGCGGCGTCGTGCAGCGAGCGCGCCGTGAGGGCGTAGGCCACGTCGTCACACACGTCAATGTACGGCGTCTGGGGAAGGGGTTGGGAGTGGGGTTAAGCATGCAAGCACGATGCCACAAAGGCAGAGCAAGGGAGTGGTGCTGCAGGCTGTGAGGGTGTGAGGCTGTGAGGCTGTGAGGGTGTGAGGGTGTGAGGGTGTGAGGGTGTGAGGGTGTGAGGCAATGAGGGTGTGAGGCAATGAGGGTGTGAGGGTGTGAGGGTGTGAGGGTGTGAGGGTGTGAGGGTGTGAGGGTGTGAGGTCGCACCAAGGGGACTGGACTGGCGGAAGGGAGGGACGCCCGAGAAGCACGCAACCCACCTTGGTGCGGATGGCTGCTTCCAAAACGGTGCAGTGCGGTGCTCGCTGGAAGGGCCCTGCACAGTGCACCACCAGGTCGGCTCCTGAGAGCGGGGGAGGCAGGAGGGTGCGGGTGAGCAGGGTATGTGGGGAGTGGGGGGTAGATGCAGGGCGCGGGTTCAAAGAGGGGGGTGAGGAAGAAGGAGAGATGCGAGGGGAGGAAAAAGGGTTCAAGGACGTTAAGAGGTAGCAGCAGCAGCAGCAGCAGCAGCAGCAGCAGCAGGAGCAAGGGACCTGAGAGGAGGGAGCAAGGGACCTGAGAGGAGGGAGTCCAGCGCCGCGGCATCGGTGACGTCACACGCTGCAAACGCCGCACTCCCTGCTGCCCCCGCTGCCGCCCGCACCTCCTCACACACCGCCTCGCCCCTCTCCCTGCGGTGCACACGCACGCACGCACGCACGCACGGATGGGAGAGCGGGGTCCCACCGCATCAATGGCGGTGGAGGCAGAGCGCACATGGCGGCGGGCAGAGGATCAAGGACAACACGCTGCCATGCGGGCATGCATGAGAATTTCGACCGAGCACTGCATTGCAGACCATGGGCCCACCACTGTGCTCCACTGTCCCACACACCCGCCACCGACCGCCACCCCCTGCGAGCGCCACCCCCAAGCGAGCGCGCACCTGTTGCGCCCGCTGACGACCAGCTCCATCGTGAACCCCGCGCGCGTCGCCTCGTCGTCGGACGCCGCCAGCGCCGCCAGCGCCACGGCCGTCGACCGCCCCACGCGCCCGCTGCCCCCGAGCACCACCACGCGCTTCACCCCCCCACCACTCCTCGCTCCGCCCTCCCCGCCCGTCGCCGCCTTTCCCCCGTCAGGGCCATCCGCCGCCTGCGCCCTCGGCGCGTTGGCCCGCCGCCTGCCCGATGCGCGGAGAGGGGCGCGCGGAGTGCGGCGAGGGCAGAGTTCACTCGCTTGGATGGCGGAGAGGGGCGGTAGGGTGGCGGAGCGGAGGCATGGGGGAGGGGAAATGCATGGCGGAATGAGGGTGGCGCAAAGCTGGTGCGCGCGAGCGAGGGGAAGCGGGGACATGGCAGAGGGGATGCGGCCGACGATTGCGGCGATATGCTGGTAAGATGTACGAATGGAATGGGATCGGATGGGGTTTGCCCTGCCACGAAACGAATGTCTTCTGTTTGCGTGAACCGTTTGTGAGAAATCCGCTATTCGCACTACACTGCAGTGGGGTGCGAAAATGCACGTCCAGCGATGCTTGCCACGTCAAAAAAAGTTGTGAATTGTAGCATGTCTGTCTGAGTAGAACATCCTTTTGCGACGGCAGTAACAAGAACAGTCGTTCGCGAGCCTCACGTCACAGGGCACAACGAGCAGAGGGCTGGTTACCAGGGGGAAGGAGGCATGGTGGGAAGCTTGACTCGCCCAACACACCTCCCAAAATCCCTCCCAAACTTCAAGGCCTGCCCTGCCGTACTGCTGCTGCATCACAGCCGCATCTCGCTCCTGCCGCAACCACCCACCTAGGCCTGCTGACGTGGCCGTACGGCCAGCACACAACGCGCTACTCACCCCAGTCACCGCCAGAGGCACGATCGGATTCGGCCAAGCATTCTCCTCGCCGCAATCCGCGCTGTTGCGCCACACCGCGTCTCCGTCGCTCGTCGTTTCAACCATCCTCCCTCGTCCTCCATCCCTCCGTCAATTGCCTGAGTCCGAGCCCTCATCGTCCGTCAGCGTCGAGGCCATCGCCTTGATTCCGTCAGCCTCCGTCGCTCGTCGGCCGTCACTCGCGCCCATGCTGAGAGTGGTTCGTGCCCTGCCGCGCTCTCCCCCGCATCGTTGCCTCTCGCTCACCAACATTTTCTTCCGCGCCTCTCCCCGCCTCTCCCGCCCCCCTCTCGCTGCCCCCTCGTTTTCATCCTACCTCTTTACTCTCGTCGCTCCACAACCCTCCCCTTGACCCACGATTGACCACGCTGCCCTGCATCCCCTTGCTCACCGCTCCCCCTATTCTCCGCCTCTCCGCACTCCTCAATCCCCCCGTCACCCCTCCCGTTACCTCTTCCCCCCAAAGGGCGCACGAGTTGCGCGAGAGCGCGCAAAGCAGGTGGGGCGGGAGGCGGGCTCTGCGTTGGGGGGAAGAGGAGCTGCGCGGAGTGCGTGCGAGGGAGGGGGATGCGCGGGAGGCGAGGGCGTGCTTGCGGGGGGCGGATGGCAGCCATGCAGCAGCGCGCGCGGTGACGCGGGCCCGCCCCTTCTCCGCGTCGCCCTGCGCCACTTCACCTCCGCACGCCCCGCCGCCGCCTCCCCTAGCCCCTTTGGCGCAGGCAGCGCCAGCATGGGGGGCTGGGGGCGGGCGGCAGCGGCGCGGAGAGCTGGCGCGGGGGAGCGGGAGCAGGTGGCGTGGCTGGCGGAGATGGCGCGACGCAGCCCAGAAGAGGCCATCCGCGCGTTTGAGGCGAGCCCGCACCTGCATGGCGTGCCGGGGGCGCTGGCGGAGTACGTGCGCGCGCTGGTGGCCGTGGACCGCCTGGACGGCAGCGCGCTGCTCGCCACGCTGCAGCGAGGTACGGCGCCCCGCCACTCCGTATAGCGCGCCACGCCACACATCATGGCTCATGCCTCATGGTTCCCCACCCCCGCCCTGCTCTTCCCTGCCCTCCCTCACCCCTCCACGCCCTCATTTCTCTCTCCTGCTCTCCTCCCCCCCCCCGAAACCCCTTCCTATCCCCGCCTACAGGCGCTGCACCCTCCGTCTCCCCCTTCCCCTCCTCCGCCCCCCCCACCATGCGCTCCTCCCTCGCCGCCATGGCCGCTTCCCCCTCCGCACCCCTGCCCTCCGCACCCCTGCCCTCCGCCCGCCCCCTCCTGCCCGCGGCGGTGGGCGCGTTCCCCCCTGAGGGCGCGCTGGGCACGGCGAGTGCGCCGCTGCACATGGTGGCCAGCGAGGGCGCGCGGGGGCAGGCATGGCGCGCTCTGCGGTCGCTGGCCCTGGCGGGGCTCGTGGTGGGCGCGCTGTGGGGCATCGCCCGCGAGAGAGACGTCGGCAGAGGTGCGCTCTGAGGGGGGGGGTAGGGGGGGGGTGGAAGGAAGGGGAGGGGAGAGGAGAAGGGGCGCCCAGAGGGGAGGAGTGGGGCCCAGAGGGGAGGAGTGGGGCCCAGAGGGGAGGAGTGGCGCCCAGAGGGGAGGAGTGAGGCCCAGAGGGGAGGAGTGGGGCCCAGAGGGGAGGAGTGGGGCCCAGAGGGGAGGAGTGGGGCCCAGAGGGGAGGAGTGGGGCCCAGAGGGGAGGAGTGGGGTCCAGAGGGGAGGAGTGGGGCCCAGAGGGGAGGAGTGGGGCCCAGAGGGGAGGAGTGGGGCCCAGAGCGGAGGAGTGGGGCCCAGAGGGGAGGAGTGGGGCCCAAAGGGGAGGAGTGGGGCCCAGAGGGGAGGAGTGGGGCCCAGAGGGGAGGAGTGGGGCCCAGAGGGGAGGAGTGGGGCCCAGAGGGGAGGAGTGGGGTCCAGAGGGGAGGAGTGGGGCCCAGAGGGGAGGAGTGGGGCCCAGAGCGGAGGAGTGGGGCCCAGAGGGGAGGAGTGGGGCCCAGAGGGGAGGAGTGGGGCCCAGAGGGGTGTAGCTGGGAGGGTGGATGTGGAAGAGGTACAAGTGTGATTCGCATGGTGCATGCATACTTGCCGTGAATCGTTTTCGGCTGGCTTGTCATTGCTCTCCTTCATTTTCACCTTCACCCCTCACCTCACGCCCCTTCCCTGCCCCCCCCCTCCCCCCGCCAGGGCTGGGGCTGAACGAGGAGGTGCAGCCGATGGCGGAGAGCGACACGCGCTTCAGCGACGTCAAGGGCGTCGATGAGGCCAAGGCGGAGCTCGAGGAGATCGTGCACTACCTGAGAGACCCCAAGGTCCTCCATGCTGTATCCTCTTTCCCTTTGAGCAGTTTTCACATCAAGCAACTCCAGCTCAACTGCTCCACCTTCGTTCCACCTCCTCTCCTCCTCTCTCTCCCCTCTCACACTCCTCACTCCTCCTTCTCTCACTCCCCTCCTCACGCTCCTCACTCGTCCTCCCCTCCCCACCTCCCCCTCGTAGCGCTTCACCCGGCTGGGAGGCAAGCTGCCCAAGGGCGTGTTGCTGGTGGGCCCGCCCGGCACGGGCAAGACGATGCTGGCGCGGGCCATAGCGGGCGAGGCGGGGGTGCCCTTCTTCTACGCGTCGGGGTCGGAGTTTGAGGAGATGTTTGTCGGGGTGGGCGCGCGGCGCGTGCGCGAGCTGTTTGCGGCGGCGAAGAAGGCGGCGCCGTGCATCGTGTTCCTGGACGAGATCGACGCCATCGGGGGCAGCCGCAACCCCAAGGACCAGCAGTACATGAAGATGACGCTCAACCAGCTGCTGGTGGAGCTTGACGGCTTCAAGCAGAGCCAGGGCGTCATCGTGGTGGCCGCCACCAACTTCCCCGAGAGCCTCGACAAGGCGCTCGTGCGGCCGGGCCGGTTCGACCGCCACGTGGTGGTGCCCAACCCAGACGTGGAGGGGCGGCGGCAGATCCTGGAGCAACACATGCACAAGGTGAGGCAGGCTTTGTTGCAGAGCTCTCTGATTCAGCGCTTGCAGAATCCTATGTGTGCCTGGTTCTATTCCCTCTCGCCCGCTCATTTCATTCCTCCTCACTGCCCCAATCCCATCACACCCTGTGTGCTGCACCCCTCCTGCAGATCCCCCGGGCTGATGACGTGGACCTGTCAGTGATAGCGCGGGGCACGCCGGGCTTCAGCGGAGCGGACCTGGCGAATCTGGTGAACGTGGCGGCGCTGCGGGCGGCCATGGAGGGGCAGCGCGCGGTGGGGCTGGCGCACCTGGAGCACGCCAAAGACCGCATCCTCATGGGCGCCGAGCGCAAGTCCGCTGTCATCTCGCCGCAGACCAGGCGCCTCACCGCGTACCACGAGGGTGGGCACGCGCTGGTCGCGGTGTACACAGCGGGCGCGCATCCGGTGCACAAGGCGACCATCGTGCCGCGCGGGGTGGCGCTGGGGATGGTGGCGCAGCTGCCCGAGACGGACGAGGTCAGCGTGTCGCGCCGCCAGATGCTGGCGCGCCTCGACGTGTGCATGGGCGGGCGGGTCGCGGAGGAGCTGGTGTTTGGGCCGGGCGAGGTGACCTCGGGGGCCAGCAGCGACATCGGGGTGGCGACGCGGCTGGCGCGGGAGATGGTGACCAAGTACGGCATGAGCGAGGCGGTGGGCGTGGTGGCGCACGACTACGAGGACGACGGCCGCAGCATGAGCGCGGAGACGCGGCTGACCATCGAGAGGGAGGTGCGCGCGCTGCTGCAGCAGGCGTACGACAACGCGCGCGCCATCCTGGTGCGGCATGAGGGCGAGCTGCATGCGCTGGCCGCCGCGCTGCTGGACAGGGAGACGCTCACCGGCGCGCAGGTGAAGGCCGTGCTGGAGAGCGCTCGGACCAACGCTCTCACTGCCACGGCCCCTGCTGCTGCTGCCACCGCTGCTGTGGTGGCTGATGGCCTTGCCGGCTCTGCGCCTTCCTCTGTCCCCAAAACAGCCACGGCTGCTGCTGCGGCTGCGGCTGCAGCTGCTGCAGAGGCCGCTGCCAACGCTGCTGGGGCGCCCACCCAACCCGCAGGGGCCTAGTGACCCGTAGGGCTGCTGCTCCCCTTCACACTTCTTCACACCCCATCGCACCTTCTCCACATCGCACCTCCTCATCACACCTCTCCTCTACACCACACCACCTATCGCACCTCCCATGGCATCTCCCATCACAACTGCTCTTGCGATTCAGTGAGAGCTCTCAGCAGATGGCACATGGCACACGGCGTATGGCAGGCCTGTGTGAGGAGGAAAGCCAAGTCTGATGATAGTGGCACCTCAAGGCGTGTCAATGTGGTCAATGTGGCAATTGCGCTTTGCTCTTATTTGTTGCATTATCTTTGGAAACGAATCGTATGCTCCTGGTAATGTAATGTACAGTAAAGGGCAGCAAGAGCGAGTCAAGTCACTGGTGTGTTCTTTGACCTCAACCACCACCCCTCACCACTGCCGCCACCCCAAAAGCAGCACTGCGAGCCACTAGGGCAACACCAACAGACGGTAGAGTGGGTGAGACACGCCGCGATCTCCTCCAAGCGACAGCATTGTGCATTGCGCATTTTCACCGCGCCCGAGTGATACCCATCGCCGGTGCCTTGTCGATTGCTCTCGCTCGTCCCCGCGCGCCTCTGCAGTGGTAGCCTGCCAGCCGCTCGCTCGAGTCCGCCGCAAGCAACAACGCGCCTGGCTGCTGTCTGCTGTCTGCTGGCTGCTGTCTGCTGTCTGCTGGCTGCTGTCTGCTGTCTGCTGGCTGCTGTCTGCTGTCTGCTGGCTGCTGGCTGCTGGCTGCTGGCTGCTGGCTGCTGTCTGTTGGTAGCGACTTGGGAGCATGGCGGGGAGGCGGCGAGATAGGTGGGGGGAGTCAGGTTGACAGTTAGGGTGAGCGACGGGGAGGCAGCCGCGTAGGTGCGGATCGACGGACGGCGTCCCGTAGAGCACGACTCGCCTTCCATCGCCCACGCATTCGCCCCTTCCTTCCCGCCCAAAGCTCCTCCTCGCACCGCTCGCAACCCCTTTCTTCCCGCGTCCCCTCTGCCGCCCTCTCCGCCATCCGCTCATGACCCCTCCCCACTCCGCCAACGGCTCGACTCACTCCGCTCCCCCCTCCGCCCGCCGCTCCGCCTACAACCTCGCCGCGCGCATCCTCTCTCTCCCCGCCAAACTCGCCCGCGCCGTCGCACGGCCTGCGGACGACGCTGCCACCCGCAGCATCGCGGGCAGCGCGGCCAACCGCCGCCGCAACCAGTCGGGGTCATCTTTCCTCTCCTCCGCCTTCACCTTCTCCCTCCCCCGCGCCCCCCGCGCCCGCCGCGCCCCCACGGGCTATGCCTCTGCCGACTCGTCGTGGCGCGGGGACGGATGGCCGGCAGCGGACGGCACGGCGGGCAGCTCGCACGTGGGGACCATCACGGGGAAGCGGTACAGCGCCGTGCGCCTGGAGCAGCTGTACGCGCTGGGCGGGTTCCTGGGGCGCGGGCAGAGCGGCGTCATCAGCGCGTGCGCGCACCGCCACACGGGCGAGCGGCTGGCCGTGAAGAGCATTCTGAAGAAAACGATCCACTCCGAGGGCACCGCCACCGACGTGCAGCGTGAGGTGGGAGGGGGGGGGGGTGGGAGGGGGAACGGGAGGGGTGGGGAGGGGGGGGAAGGAGAGGCGGGGGGGGGAAGGGGGGAGATTGAAGGAACAGCGGCACTGCGGCATGCACGATCCTGGCGACCAGCACCCTTGCCTGGAGACTACGCACTGGACCGCGCACGGCAGACCATGTAGGAGCAGCACGCTGTGCGCTGCATGCTGCAGGACTCGGTTCCCCCATCTCACGCGTGCACGCTTTTTCTCCCCCCCCCCCCTTTCCCCCATCCCTGCTCGCGTCTCCCCCCCCCCCGCTGGGCGGCAGGTGGCGGTGCTGGGCATGCTGCGGGGGCACCCGCATGTGGTGCGGCTGGAGGGCGTGTTCGAGGACCAGACGGCCGTGCACATCGTCATGGAGCTCTGCCAGGGGGGCACGCTCACCGACCACATTGCGCAGCAGGTGCGCTGCCATGCCTGTCTTACCTGCTAACCACGTTCTCGAGTGGGCATGCCAGCCGCGGCTGCATGTGCTGCAGCATTGCACCTGCGGCCTTCTCTCTGCCGCCCCTCATGTTCGCCCTCGCCTCGCCATCCCCCCTTGGCCACCCTGCCAGGGCGAGTACAGCGAGCGGGCGGCGGCGGGCATAATGCGGGTGGTGGTGGAGGTGGTGCGGGCGTGCCACGCGCTGGGCATAGTGCACCGCGACGTCAAGCTCGGCAACTTCCTGCTCTCCGACCAGACAGACCGCGCCACGCTCAAAGCCATCGACTTCGGCTCCGCCGCCTTCTGCCAGCCAGGCAAGTGCTGCTGCCCTGCTCTGCCTAGCGCACCCCCTCCCTGCTCCCAATGCCCCTCTCTCTTGCCTTTCCTGACTTGGCGCTCTGCCCTCACTGCCTATGTCGCTTGCGCACCGCATATCCCTCACCCTTGCCCTTCCTTCCTCCACATCCATCCCCACCCATCCCTACACGTCCGAACCCATCCACACTCACCCCCACGGGTTGGAGCAGGCGAGCACCTGGAGGCGATGGCGGGGAGTCCCATGTACATGGCGCCCGAGGTGCTGGACGAGCGCTACTCGCACCCCTGCGACGTGTGGAGCGCCGGAATCATGCTGCACACGCTGCTCGCCGGCAAGCCGCCCTTCCAAGGAGGTCCGCCGCTCCGCGCTCCCAACCCAACTCCTGCTGCTGCTGCTCTTTCCCCCTCACCCGCTTCTCCTCCTTCCCTTCCGCTCGTGCGCTCGTGCGCTCTTCATCCCCTCGCAACGCCCATCGCCCACCCAACCACCTCGCCCTGCCTCCTCCACACCTCATCGCGTCGCCTCTCTCGTCCCGCCTACCATCTCCCATCTCCCTGCCCAACTGCCCCCTGCCCATCGTGTGTCCCCCAACCCCCCCCCCCCCAGACTCGGTGCTGGCGATATTTGAGGCCATCCGCACGGCCCCTCTCGCCCTCACGGCGCACCCCTGGCCGCTCATCTCCCCCGCCGCCAAGGCGCTGCTCGCCCGCATGCTGGACCGAGACCCCTCCAGGCGGCCCACGCCAGACGAGATCCTGGGTGAGGCGAGGCGCACGGGCAATGGGTGAGGCGCACGGGCCATGGGCAATGGTCCGATTTCTAGCTGTGCTCCCCTTGCCAGCGCTCCTTCTTGTGCCACCTGCTGTGCCGCACTCCCCGCTGAACTTCCTTAAATCCCTCTGTATCTTTGGTTCGTCTGTGTGCACATGCCATGCCATGCCATGCATGGCGCGTGCAGCGGACCCGTGGATGCGCGGGGAGGAGGCGGTGGAGCAGCCGCTGGAGAGCATCATGCTGCCGCGCATGAAGCGCCTCAGCGCCATGTCCAAGCTCCGCCGCCTCGCTCTGCTGGTCAGTCCGTGCCACGCCGCCACATGGTCCGTCCGTGCCACGCCGCCACATGGTCCGTCCGTGCCACGCCGCCACATGGTCCGCACCTGTTCAGTCCGCATGCCTTTACTGATCCTCCATGCCATCACCATCCCTGCCATCACCATCCCTGCGCCCATCCCTGCACCCATGCCTGCACCCCCCCCAGGTGACCACACGCCACATGCCGGAGGAGCAGGAGCGCGAGCTGCGAGCGGTGTTCAGCGCCGTGGATGCGGACCACTGCGGCGCGCTCAGCCTGCAAGACCTCTCCGCCGTGCTCAAGAGCATTGGGGCAGCCCTCAGCGATGACGACGTGCAGCGGATATTCGAGTTTGTGAGTGGGGCTCATGCATGTGGGCACTCATATGCATGTGGGCACTCATATGCATGTGGGCACTCATATGCATGTGGGCTCATGCATATGCACCCCTCTGCACGCCACTCTTCCCATCACCTTTCCAGGTTCCTGCTGGTTTTGAGTAGTCTCAAAATCGTGACCTCTCCCCATGCCCCGTCCCTGTGTCTTTGCCTGCCCGCAGGTGGACGTGGATGGCAATGGCAGCATCGAGTACACGGAGTTTGTGGCGGCCACGGCCGTGTTGCACCGCGACCGCCACGCAGCGGCCATCCGAGAGGCGTTTGAGGAGATGGACGCCGACGGGTCGGGCGCCGTGAGCGTGGACGAGTTTGCAGCGGTGTGCTGCCGCCTGGGCATGGGGCCGCTGGAGGAGATGAGGGCCATCGTGCGGGCCGCCACCGATGCTGAATACGTGAGCTGCAGGGCATGCCAGGTCACACTGTGCCATCACCCCATGCCCACACCATGTTGCTTCCCCTCCATGCTCTGCCCCTCACCCCTCCATGCTCTGCCCCTCACCCCTCCATGCTCTGCCCCTCACCCCTCCCCTCACCTGCCGTCCCTCCCCTCACCTGCCGTCCCTCCCCTCACCTGCCGTCCCTCCCCTGTGTCTCCCCTCGCCACACGCAGGGCACGGCGTCTGGAGTGCAGCAGGCAGTGGGCGTGCAGGGTGGCGAGGGCGCGGGGGAGAGCGGGGGGGTGGGGGAGAGGCAGATAGACTACACGGACTTCCTGGCGCTCGTCACGGGGTCGGGCCACAGCGACAGCCGCATGGAGTCCTGGCTCGCTGCTGCGCTGCTCTGACTCCTCCACACTCCCCACCGCCACTCATTCCTGCCTGCCCCGCCTTCCTCCCTCTGCCCTCCCCCCATCTGTCCCGCACCACCCTTGCCATCTGCTTCCACCACCCTTGCCTTGCCTTTGGTGTCGCTCGTCTCATCCCACTGAGACGCACAGCTGTCGCACTACCTCCAACTCATGCCGCTGCTGCCCGCCTGCCCACTGCACAAAAGGCGCGTGCGTGCCTGGCAGTGCATGGCTGTGTGCCAGGCTGCTCATGAGTCATGCCTCATGCCATGTCTTGCTGTCTGCCATGCCAGTGCGCATGCAGTGCCCAGCTTCCGAGTGTTGAGTCACAAGTGCTACAAGCAGCAGAGCTCTACAGCTCGCCCGGCCTGCAGCAGAGAGAAACGGTGCCTCCGTGCCTCAAGACCCATAAGCATGGACCGTGTATGCCTGTCTGGTGTCCAGGGTCAGAATGTTAGGCATGCCAGAAGGGAAGGATGGAGAGAGCTTAGTCATGCCCACCAGCACTGGTGGGTGCTACCCTCTTCCATGCCCTAGTGTTTTCTTGCTTTGCGCTTTTGTTCCTGTCAAGCCGTCTTCTGCAGCTCTTTGATTTGATTTGATTTGGTGGCATCCTCATTCTGCGATTGGCTGCCATAACTGCCATGCTTCATGCTGCTAGGTACCTTGCTCCTGAGGCTAAGTCTGTCAGGAAGGGAAAGCAATTGCATGATGAGGAAGGACTCCTTTCCACAATAAGGCACCTCTCATTTATTACACTCGATGCCAAGGTGTTTCACATGCGTATACAGCACAAGGGGGCTTGGTACCATTCTTGCAGCATGCTGCATGCATCCATGCACGCACCGCATCATCCAAGGGCACGTGAGTCAACGGGTCAAGGGGTCAGTGGGGCTGTCTTGGCAAGTGGCACATGCGGCACACATCCCCGCTGCCGCTCGGATTGCCATACGTGCAGTGCACGCACAACCAGTACTCCCCCTCCCCTGCTGCCCCTCCCCCGCCCTGCCCCTGCGCCTGCCCCTGTCGCACCGCTTGCCCCCCGCTGCTGGTGGCTCCCCCCACCCCACCATCAACTCTCATCCGCGCCCCCCCTCGCCCATCCCCTACCACCCCCCCATCAGCAAAATGCACGTGGTTCGTCCCACTCCTCCGCCTCTTCCTCCCCTCCTCGCCCTCCCCCCCCTCCCCTCCCCCGCTCCCCCCTGCACTTGTCCCCGCGCCGCCAGCCTTGTCACCCCCCGCCACGTCCTCAGGAATCTCAGAGAGCCCGGACTCGAGTGCCTTGACCAGGTTCTCAAAGAAGGTCTTGGTGACGGCGGTGAGGCGCGTGAGGTGCGAGCGGAACGCCAGGAAGTCGGCCAGGCGCTGCTGCGGCGAGAGGGCGGCGGGGTGGGCGGGGAGGGCGTGGGCGTCGAAGGAGCCCTTGAAGTGCGCCGGGATGAACGCCTCCACGTCCTTCTCCGCCGCCTTGTGCAGCCACCCCAGCGCCGCGTCCGCCTGCCCCTGCACGCACTCGAGGGAGGGAGGGGGGGGCCAAGAGGGTTGGGAGTGGGTGCAGAAGTGTTTAGGGTAACGAGCATGCACTGCCACCCTGAACCTGCTGGCGATTGACCTGGGAAGGGCACCTGAGGGGTCACCTAAAGGCACCTGAGTCCCACCTGGAGGTACTCGAAGAGGTTTCTGCGTGCGGGGTGGTGGTCGGAGAGGTAGAAGCCGTAGGCGTAGGTCCACTTGAGCATGCGGCGGCACGCGATGATCTGCTGCCACGCCTCCGCCAGAAACTTCATCTGCGCTGCCGGCAGCCCCATCAGCCCCCGCAGCTGCTCCGCCTGCTGCTGCTCCACCTGCCCCACACGGGGTTAGAGGGGGGAGCGGGGCGGGGGCGGGAAAGGGGAGTGGAGCAGACAGGGAGGGAAGATGAAGAGGGCAGTGGGGAAGTGGATGGGCAAGGGAAGGGAGAGAAAGGCAGGGAAAGCAGGATAGGGAGAAGGCAGGCAGACCATGGACAGCAGCATGCGAGGAGGAACAGCAACGCGCCTCCATCGCCTGCCGGTACGGAGTGGGGTAGAGGAGGGGGGCAGACAGCAGGGCGACGATGAAGGGCTCCGAGTAACAAGGGGAGAGGGTGAGGAGCAAACCACTGGAAAACCACTCATGGTGGTGGCAAACCACTCGTGGTGGTGGCAAACCACTCGTGGTGGTGGCAAACCACTCGTGGTGGTGGCAAACCACTCGTGGTGGTGGCAAACCACTCGTGGTGGTGGCAAACCACTCGTGGTGGTGGCAAACCACTCGTGGTGGTGGCAAACCACTCGTGGTGGTGGCAAACCACTCGTGGTCGTGGCAAACCACTCGTGGTGGTGGCAAACCACTTGTGGTCGTGGCAAACCATTGGAAACCCACTCATGGTCGTGGCAAACCATTGGAAACCCACTCAGGGTGGAGCTGAGAGGGACGGGGAGAGGACAGTACGTTGATGCCAACATGTGGTGAGGAGCAGCAATGAAACTCCTCTCCTCTCACCTCCTTGAGGCTGTCCTGTGCGCGGCGCCACGACTGCTCGTTGCTGGCCCAGCGCTCAAAGTAGTGCAGGTAGCGCTCCAGTGACTGTCGCGCGCGCTGCCGCCGCTCCTCCTCCTGGCTGTACTCGCCCTGCCCACAGGGACAGGGGGAGGGGGGTTGGGAGGTGCGGGGGAGACAGGGGAGGGGGATGGTGGCGGAGGGGCAGGGAGCACGTGGAGCAAAGAGAGACCTTGTATGCAAAGCACACCACAAGCTCGCTTTGCAAGGGCCCAAGTGTGCATCGTCCATGCCGTTCTCGCCCGCCACCTCGCTCCTGCACAGCCCTCCCCTCGCCCGCGCGCACCTGCTTCTTCCCGGTCTCATAGCGGTTGCACGCGTAGAAGCCGCCCGTGCCCTCGCCGTGCTCCTTCCAGTCGCCGAGGCAGAGCCAGCAGAACTCGTGGCGGCAGGGCGGCGAGCACGTCATGTGCATGCAGCCGTGGTTCTTCTCGATGGGGCGCTGGCAGCGCGGGCACGCCTTGCTGTTCGCCAGGATCCACTTCATGTTCTCCGACTCCGCGCTGCCGCCCCGCACACACGAACGAACGCGGGGAGGTGTGGTGTGCGGGCGGGTGGGGGGTAGGGGGAGGGGGAAAGGGAAGGGGCCGGGCGGTTGGTAAGTGTGGAGTGGACTGGAAAGAGGGAGAGGAGGGGCATGGGGACGGGTGGGGGGACGGGCATGGGGAAGGGGGGGAGGAGCAGAATCCACGGCTCAAAATCCGTGGAACAAGCCCCAGGTCAAGTCGAACTCCACGCCGCGCTGCTGACCCCATGGGTGAGCCCACTCCACCCCCTCCCAGCGGCCCACCTGTTTTTGACGACCCATTTGCGCACGAGTTCGCACTCCACCGGCCGGTGCGGCTCCTGCAGACAGTGCCAGCACCACTCGTGCCCGCACGCACACCGCACGTCACGGCTCATGCTGCCACTGCCCCACATGCCCCCCCCGCCCCCGCCGCCCTCCTCCTCGTCCTCCATCATGCCTTTCATCTTCCCCCCGCGCGTCCCTCCCCCCCCCATGGCGCACGGCACAGCGCCCCCGCCCCCCTCTGTCTGAATGGCGAAGTCGCAGCCGGGCGAGGGGCACCACTTGACGCTCTCACTCGCCTCCACGAACGACCGTAGCAGGTACCGCCGGTAGTGCCGCACCGCCGCCAACGCCACCGCCGCCCCGCATGGGAAAGCTGCTCCGCTGCCCTCTACTGCCGCTGCTACTGCTGCCGATGCTCCCTCAGCCGCTGTTGAGTTCCCCACTGCCTCCGCCGCTCCCGCTGCTTTCTCTCCGGCAGCCGAACCACAAGGAACAGCCTCCCCCCCTCCCTGTGCCGACCAAGTGGCAGCAGCAGCAGCAGTATAGGCAGCAGCGGATGCGCCTTTCACCCTCCGTGCCTTGCCAGAGCGCCCGGCACCCGGAGGAGTACCAGCAGCAACAGCAGCACCGCCTGCAGCAGTCTCACGTGCCATGGCGCCTGAACCTCCGGCTGCTGCTGACGCCGTAACTGCTGCTGCGCCGCCATCCCCCACTGCCTTCCCCTTCCCCTTCTCGCCCGCGCTCACGCCCCCCTCCCCCTCCCCCTCTCCCCGCCCCTCCCCCACCGCGTCCCCCTGAGCGGGCGCTGCCGCGTCCCCCAGGAGCGCGAGGATGCGCACATCCTCCACTGCTGCGCCGCACTTGGGCGCGGGGCAGCGCAGGGAGAGGCACCCCGCGCCGTCGGCAACGGCTGATGCCACGTAGGACTGCCAGCAGGGCACGCAGTAGCGGTGCTGGCCGCACAGCGCCATCACGACCGTCGACTCCAGCGGGTGGTCGTCGAAGCAGATGCCGCAGCGCACTGTGGCGGGGACAGCCGCGGACGACGACGCCTCTGCGGGGACGGCGGGCGCGGCGGCGGGGGCAACGAGCCCCAGGCGCTTGCGCACCCCGTCCTCGTCCGAGAACCACGCGTCGCTGGGGGGAGCGGCGGAGGCAGAGAGGGGTCGCGGGGAGGATGAGAAATGGGGGGAATCGGACGCCGTGATGCGAGGTGGGAGAGAGGAGGGAGGCGAAGGGACGTGCCGGGAGGGTGGTGGGATAGACTCGGAGGGATGAACAGAGTAGTGAGAGATGTAGCAGTAGAGAGGGACGCGGCGACCGTTGAGAGCAGCGACTCACGTGACGCGGTTGACGCTCCACTTGAAGGAGCGCAGCAGCAGCGCCGCCGCCGACTCCGAGACGTTGAGGAAGCTCACTGTCTCGCGCACCAGCCGCGCCTGCTTGCTCACGATGTCCGCCTCCGACAGCACCTGCGGGCCGTCGTCGCATGCGAGGGGGGGGGAAGGGTTGGTGGCGGTGGTGTTGATGTTTGTATTCGTGTACGTGGTGTCGGTTAGCAGGTTGAAAAGGGTCAGAACCGAGAGCAAAACGAATGATGGGAAATCCGTTCTTCCAGCGCCCACTCGTCGCCTCAGGCGCACCTTGAACTGGCTCTCGCGGCCGCGCGGGGTGTCCGCGTCTTGCGTCAAATCCCCCTCCTCCTCCTCCTCCTCGCCGCCTCCCTGCGTGTCGTCGTCGATCGCCTCCCCCTCGTCGTCGTCCCCATCCCCATCCCCATACCCATCGTCGTCATCGTCGTCGCCGTAGTCCTCGTAGTCGCTCGACTCGCCCTTCGCCTCGCCCTCCTCCTCCCCCTCATCCCCGTCCTCCCCCCGCACCTCCACCACCTCGTCGTCCGCCACCGCCGTCCCCATCCCTCCTCGATCGCTGCGAGCTGGCGTGCGAAAATACTCAGACGCGACGATAGAGCGACTATGCAGCGGCTACACTGCTAGACGTAGCGACGAGAACCTACAAGAGCAATCTCAGCTCAGCGGATAAGGCTCGCACGAGCAGACGAATGGAATAACCCTACTGCCGAAAGAGATAACTAACGAGCCAACCCCCAACGGCCTAGGAACTAGGCGAGCAATTTTAGGGTTGCAACAGCACACTAGGGTGAGGCGAAGTGAGCAGTCGTGGGCGCGTGGGAGGGTAATGAATGATGTGCGGTGGTGGGATGCAGGAGAGCGGAGATGCTTGGGCGTGCTTTATCGGGGATCTGTTAACGGATAACAGTAAACTAGTCATGTAGTATTATCATGCGCTTGGAGAAAAGAGCTGCACTTCCTCCTTCGTGCCTTCTAGGCACACTCAAAGATGGCATCCTCGTTGCCGCAGGCATCCAGTCGGGGTATCATGCCAAATCAAAGACAACCTTGCTAGGGTACGCTCGTGCTTTAGCACTTTCCAGCTTGCTTTTGTTGCATACAGTATGAAAAAGATGCCCACATGTTGAAGAAGGTTGCTCCATGACCTTGAGTTTTACACCCATTCAAGACAGACCAGCTGCACCTTGCCCTTCCATGAGACACCTCCATTAGCTTCTGTTGCAGCCTAGCACAGCCAGCGCCTGTTGTTCTGCCAAGGTCGATGCATCAGCGCTGGAAGGGCAGCCTGGTTGGCCAACAAGAGCATGGTACATCAAGAGCACCTAGATTCCAATTATATACAGACGCCATACAAATTAACCTTGCATCGGAAAAAACCTCTCCCCCGGTACCCTTTTATAATGATTGAATAGTGTTATTGCTGGCTTGCTACTCCATGCATGGCAATCGGGCTGGCTTGCACCCCACGCAGCAGCGAGAGGTCCATCGTCATCCACGAGCCATGCGCCACCACCCAGCGCGCACTATTTACAGCCATCACTGTCATCCGGCGTGCTGTCACCATCACCCGCAGTGCCATCAGCCTGCACCCCATGGCTGGCATCAGCAGCACTGTCCAGACACCACTTGGCCGCCGCTCGACTGAATGCCTGCTCCAGCGACAGAGTGGAGGACGCACCCCCACTTGCTGCACCCCCTTGCTCCTCTGAATTCTGCTGCTGCTGCTGCTGCTGCCATTTCTCCTGAAGGTGTGATATCGCCATGGCTGCTGCGTCTGCCACCTCCGGGTCGGCATCACGTGTCAGCTTCTGCAATTGCACGAGAATGCACACATGGCTGACAGCATGAGTGTTGCATTTTTGTCAACCCAGGCATGTACATCACCTGCACCACATACATACACGTGTGTACCTGCACCGCTCCCCTCTCGTACGCCACTCACTTCAGCACAGCCCCTCTCTCACCTGCAGCACGGCACAGCCGGCATTCCCCAGCGCAACGAGGGAGGGCGCGCTGGAGAGGGCGTCGAGGGCGGTGAGGCGCAGCGCAGCGTGCGGCGAGGCGCAGCAGCGGTGCAGCAGCGCCAGCCCGTAGCTGCTGCTCACCTCGCCCATGTCCACCAGCGCCGCCAGCAGGAACCCCAGCTGACGGGGGGAGGGGGGGGGAAGAGGCAGGGGGGGGGTTACAGAGGAGCAGGATAGGGAGAGAGGACATGGCTTGCTGCTGCAGTGTATCGCAGCAGCGAGGCGAGGCAGGAGGGGAGGAGGCAGCAGCACAGCGAGATGAAAGCAAAGCAGGAGCACTGCGGCACTTCTACTCTCACCTCCTCCGTGGTGCTGTCATCCCCGCCCACGCCCAGCACTCCCCACTCCTCCTCCTCCTCCCTGTCGTCCTCCCCCTCCGCTGGTCTGAGGGAGTGAGGGCCTATCTCATGGTACAGCTCCTGCACACGCGGAGAGGGGGGGATTTCGACGCCTTGCATGGCTGAGCGCAATTTTGGGATAGAGGAAGCGGATGGGAGAGGAGAGAGCAAGGTTGCGAGAGGGAAGGCGAAGAGGCTGGAGATAGAGTGGGAGGTACATACGTCGAGTGCAGCAAGTGTCTTGAACGAGAGCGTGGACAGCGGATGCCGGTGACGTGGCGGGAGGGGATTGGTGCTCAAGGACCTCCTTTCTTCTCCGTCCTCCAATCGACTCTCCTCAGCGCCGCCACTGTCAGAGTCCATCGTGGGAAGCGGCTGAGAGGGGAGCGGTGCCACGGAGGCTTGACTAGAGGAGGGGGAGGAGGCAGTTGAATCGTGAAGGGGTGCTGATGGGTGCAAGGCGGTGCTGCTTCGTCTCAGAGTGACAGCGGGAATGCTGGCGGTTGCGGATGCAGGAGTTGAGGAGGCAGAGGGCAGGGCGTCTGGGCGAAGCAGTGTGACTATAGCGGAGTGAAGGCTCTTCACCACCTGCGAGTGAAAATGGGGCATACGGGCACACAACCAGGCCGCAGCATGCAGCAAGTAGCATGGGAGGGCGAGAGGGTGGAGTGGGAGGGATATGAGAGGGATGGAGCGACACAATGCTTGAATTGATTAACCAGAGGCACTTGGCAGGTATGGATAGGAGACGAGGTTGATGCATCTGCAGGTCGGAGCCCATAGAATCTGGGGGAGCAACGGGAGCAGCGCGCATGGCTGCAACGCAATCACCATACCCGCAGGGCGCGAGTGTACCTGCAGGGCGAGGAAGACGTCTTCTAGCCCTCGCCGCCTCATGCGCATGTCAGCCAGGCGCAGATCAGCCTGCCGTGCCGTGCACAAGATATCACAAGGGGTAACGTGTTGAGTATGAACGGTAAATGCACAACGTTCTGCCATGACCTGCACTCCCCATGAACCGGCCATGGCCCATAACTCGCGGATTCACCACCATGACGCCATTGCTTACCGCCAGCGCGCCGTCTCGCCAGTGCTGCTCCGCCTGGCGACTCAGCTCCTCGCGCGCACTCTCCTCCAGGCCCTGCACCCCACGGCCCGCAGCTCGTTAGACCAGCACAGCCAGCTCCACCAGAAAAACATCTCACAACGAGAGTTACAATCTCGGGGGTGTCGCAGCTGAAAAGCAAATGCGTTATGGGTGGTTAACACGCGCTAGGCTCAAAGCTAAGGTAAGGAGAGAATCAAGACGCTCGAAGCCCATTATGACGCTAGACGACCCTTGAGTCGATTGGGTTGGGGCCAAAAGGAAAACGCAGACCGGATAGCAGCGGCCGAACTGGCTAGATCTGAGAATTCCTGCGTGACTCGTACCAGCGCCAGATGTCGCAGGCGCCGCACTCGCAGCCTCGCCCGCGCATCCAGCACGCCCGCGTCCTCCCGCGCTCGTGCTAGTGAAGAGCGGGGGGAGGGAAGACGAGAGTGCGATGATGGGACGGGAGCCGGAGGGGGGGACGCGGGACGCGCAGACGCACTTGATCGACCACGTGCGAAGAACTAACCGGCGAGCGCCAGGGAAATACCGTCTAGCGTTGAGAGCCTACCGTCCAAAGTGAGGAACTTGGATCCCAGCAGCGCCACGTCCTCGCGCGCCCTCGAGTCCAGCGACCAGAAGCCCCTGCCGGCACAGCGGTTCGCACGCGGATGGCGGAGGACGGGAAGGGTACGCACGGCGAGAGTGAATGCGGAAGAAAGAAACGGCGCCGGTGAACGGGGCGTTGCTGAGAGTGTGTAGAGGAGTTACTAGGTGAACAAGGAAGAAAGTCAAGGTCGCTGAGCGATCTTTTTGAAAGCCGATGATGGTGAATGCAAGCGATAGCGCTCAGGTGATGTCAAGGGCGAAGGAAGAGACGAGGCACCTGGCCAGCAGCGTGGCGTCCTGGCGCGCGAACTGAGCGGCGGCCGTCAGACCAACCAGGCACGGCGGGGACTCGCCATCGCTGGAATACTCCCCTGCGCGCGCGGATCCGCACATCGGACACTCCGACCCGCACCCCGACCGCAGGAAGTCGCACCCTCCCACACCCATTCCCGCGCTGACGTCAGCATCAGGTGAACTCGAGCTCGCGAGAATTTCTCGGACCTGACGCCTGTTGTCCGATACGCTAGCTATGCTGCCTTCGACCTCGCTCGCTCCCTCCTCGCCAAACGCCCTAGCGCCGGCTCCCGACTCACGCGACAATGCGTTCACGAAGGATCGCTCCCTCGATCCCACGCATCCTGACTTCCCGTGCACGCCCCCAATCGCCTCGCCCCAAAAGGGTGGAATCCGCACACGACTCGATACAGGGTTGCCACTAGCGCGAGTGGGTCGAGCGTCGTAAGGGAATGCGGAACGAGCACCCGCAAGCGCAGCCGTCACCTGGCACGGGAGGCCTGCCATGGCTAGTGAAGCGGCTGGCAGCTTGAGCGAGGCGGCGAACGTTGATGAAGGAAAGGAAGGAGGCCTCAATTCAAATGGCTCGCAGACAGTGAGTGAAGTGACTAGAGCAGCCAACACATCGTGGCTCACGAGTTCAGTTGGCGAAGCAGAGCACAGGCGGGCTGGAGAGGCAAATCGGGAGATCCCCAAGGTGGAGGGAGGCACAACCAAAAACCAAAGGCGACGTGGCAACAGCTGCTGAGCCAATGGGAATAGGCTAGGCTGAACAAAATTAGCTTGTGGGCAGTAGGGGTGCAGATTGACAGGAATTACCGTCATTTTGAAGTGCCTGAATAAGGTAAATATGCAAACTCAACTTCTTTTTCCTAAAGTCCATTCTCACATTCTGTAGTCGAAAGCACGATTATCTGGCGTCTGTTTTCCATCGGAACACGTGTTGTGAGGCTAAAATGATATCAGCATTCGACACGGAAAAATTATAGCCAATAAGGGAAAGCCACACCACCATATAAGTTGACGGAAGTTGTGGCTCTGATCCACCAGATCTTTGGGGTTCCTAAGCGCAAAATCTTGGACAGGCATGGTATCCAGGTAGGCTGAGGAAGTGTCTGCGTTACAGCATTTAAGTACACTATTAATAAAAACATGGTGTTGGCAATATAAGTTATACGAGTAATCTTCATACCATCATCTCTTCCCTGCATGTGAAAAAGCGGGGAGTCAGATATCTAGCCAAACAAGAGGTTGGGAATACGGAATACCAGCAAATTAGCTCACCAGGCATCATCAGTATCAAGGACGAGGCATGTTATGTTTTTTTGTCCCCTGCATTCACACCAGAGACACAAAAATGGAGGGAGGCGCACAGACATACATGCACACACAATGTTATGACTTAGATCCATGGATACTGGTTTCCACGCTAGGACTCTGCTTTTATTCGTCAGACTTACGTTGGAACGGGCTTCATGCAGGACCGCATCACCTCGCCGTCAATCTCAATGATGCACACATCACATTGCCCTGTCAGGCAGAAGCGGTTGTCAATTGTCAGGGCACCCGCGTCCACAGCAGCCTTTAGCAGGTTGGAACCCTCCTGAGATGGTTTGGCGTTAAGTTAAACAGGGGACGGAAAGTAATCAAAGCTGTCGTTGGGAAACCGAGAGGGAGAAAGGGGGTGGGTGTGGAGAAGACGTTCGGGATGTGCAGGAACGCGTTATGAAATAAGCCTACTGAGACTGCTAGCCGTAGCTTCTTCCACAGCTAAAAAAAATGGCTGGATGAGAAGTGATATGATTTGGTTCAAAGAAGGAAAGTGGCAATCCGTGTGCGACCAAAACTAGCAAGAGCTGACTGGTCACAGAAACAAAAATGGACAAGCGTTATCCATGGGTATACCTACATTGCCGTTTCATTGGCTTAGCACATAGATTCGATGCTCGCCGTTCCCAGTTACATCCTACAACTTTCAGTGTTCTCATCACCCTGATTCCCACTGTGCGTGCCGGATGACTTTTGAGTCGACTCAAAAATCACCCTCACTGTGCATGCCGGATGTTCACAATCGCCGTGGCGAGAACCACATGGGGCGCTGCAGCACTCACCGGCGCGCTGCAGGTGTCGCCGTACGGCTCCCACGTGATGTCCACCAGGGGCCCGTCCACCACATTGTCGTTCAGGAACGCGCCCTCGGGCAGACTGGGGGATCCGAGTAGGCAACGACGCGGGGATCAAGGAGATAGGGGTTTAGGGGCACGCTGAAATGACAATGAGAATCGAGAACCAGGAACAGAGAGGGATTTCAGCGCTAGTCTGAAGGGGCACGGAACTGTGTGAAAGGTTCGCGATGAATTGTTCCTCATGCTATAGCTTCCCCATCATGCTTCGGCAATGGCACTGCTTTTCCATTCGGTTTCGCCCATGCCATTGCTTCCTCATCCCGCGTTACTCCCCCGGCTCACCCTCTCTCCTTGCCGGTGGCGGCCGCCAGAAAGAACTCCTCCCTGAGCTCGAGACCCGTCTTCTTCCGCTCGCCCTCCGCTGCCTCCGCTCTCACCGCCAACGACGCTGGCCGGCCAAGGGTCACCTGACAGCGTCAACGAGGTGGTAAGGTAAGGCTGAGGAATCATCGCATGATGCGGGATTCAGAATGCATTGAAAGGTTCGCCTACCTGGCAAGCTGGACCTGTGGTACTTCTAAGCCTCTGGCCTGCAAACGGAAACGAAAACTTCAATTTTAGACTGCTGCTCGTTGCTTTACGTTACGGCGGCGAATGCGGTGATCAGCATCTCACCAATGAACGCGGTGCTTGGCAGCTTAGCGGCCACATTTCCGAGGGAGGTCATGGCAGCCATGGGGAGGAGGTCAATGAGCGGAATCTGTCCTGAACTGGAGACGGCTGCTGAGACTGCAAGTTCCTGGATTCTGGTTGCTGCGGTGAACTTGAATGCACAAACCAAGCAGTTAGTGCAGGTCTCTCGTTTGGTCTGGTTAGGGTGAGAGTTTTGACGATGGCTCAATCCTCTCTCAGTGGCGCGTCGCTATCAGAAGGCCCAGAAAGCGAAGACGAATTTGGCCACGTGGTGGTGTCGCACTGGGTGCCGAAACTGCTCTGGTTTCCCTGACGTCCAAATAGCGAGTGTCGGATTGCGCAGTTGCCATGTCAGCGGAACTGAGAGGCTGAACCCAAGGGAGCATTCGCGAAATGGTCATTCGGACTTTCGCATCATTGTCGCACTACGTGTTCGCTATTGTTCCCACAAGCATGGACTGTGCTTGTTTTTATTATAAAGGTTGTGATAAGAGTGAATCCTGTGTCAATACTAGCCTCATCACCAGCAATGCAGTTGATTTTTGTACACCTAAGAACGCACTCGAATCTCTCACGTGAAGTGTTCATGGTGGCTGAACACAATCGGGGGTTACCAGCCTTCCCACCTGCAATTTGGGCGATGCGTTTCGCAGCTGGCTGTCGCAGCGACAGCAAGGTCCATGCGACCCAGACCCACATGTAATTCGTGGCAGGTGCAGCCCGTCCGGCGTCGCAGGTGCTTTCACACGATATTCGGGAAGTCGTCAGGGAGTGACGCTGTAACTCACTGGGATCGTTAACCACGAGATTAATTTCGCTGACTTCTGACGGTCTGGATTGCTTGTTAGACTTCCCGCGCATCGCAGGTGGTGTTGAAATGGTCATCGTTCGTCGCGAGACTGGAGACAGGGTGGGTTTCATCCGGTCCTACGCTTGATGCCATGGCGCCCCACACCAACCACCCTGGCACAGATGCGAGTGAGCAGGGCGGAGGAAGGGCTCACCTGCGCGGTTGGCAGTTTCCCTCCGCGCCCTGCTCCCTTGCGCCTCTCCCGCTCGCCCCGTCCCTCTCAGGTGCGTCGCCTGCCACTGCTCACTCCATTGAATCCATGGCTACCCAAGGTTTGGCTCTCTTCCTCCACTCAGGCCGCAATTTGCACTGGTCGAAGGTTTACCTCACCCTCTCTTGGCCTTCGTTTCACGGTTGTTCTGCTTCATGAATTATCCAGCGGACAGTGTGCTCTTCCGATCTAGGTAGTGGATCTAAGCGAATACAGTGCTGAGTACTGTTAACTGCGTACAGCTGCATCTCGAGCCTTTCGTAGCCGCGCAGATGGCTTCAACCTATCGCGTCGTAGCGCTCGTATTTCTGATATCTCTCACGAACTCAAGATTTTGTATAGCAACAGCGGAGCAGCAGCCCATAGCGTCGTTCTTCGGCGATCCGCACTTCCAGGGCGCGGATGGCGTCCACTTCCGCTTCACCGGTCTCCCTGGCCAGTCATACTGCCTGCTGTCTGACCCGTCGCTGCACATCAACATGGAAATGGCCGGCGAGTCAAGTAGCCGAAACGCCGAGTCAAGCAGCGCAGGCGGCGATTCCAATGCCCCAACTGCCGCCCACCGCACATGGGTCAAGGCTATAGGTGTGCTCGTGGCTGGCCACTCCCTGCAGCTTAGAGCGCGGCAGGGGGAAGACGCGTCGCTCGGCGACGGTTTCTTGCAGTCGCTAGTTCTAGACGACGTCGCCCAGCAATTGTCGCCGTCGCACATCCTAGAGAGCGACGACGGCGCGCTGCTGGTGCACCACGTGGGGGTCACCGAATCCAACGGCTTGGAAACCGAGACCATCAGAATACAGGCCGGCGGCCGGCATGGGGCGGAGTTCCTTGTCCATATTCGGCCAGAGGCCGTCGACCGACAATCACCGGGCGACGCGTTTGTGCATTTCTCAGTGGAGGTGTTATCTGGGGGCGGGCTGACCGACCCGCACGGCGTCATGGGGCAAACCTTCCGGAGATCCCAGAAGGAGCGGTCGTTCGCGGTGGGCCTGCGGTGGAGCGACGACGCGCAGGCGTGGGAGGTGGCGGGAGATAACGGCGACGGCTATCTTGACGGCTCCGTCGACAGTTACCGGTCGACCGGCCTCGTCGCCGCGGATTGCGCGTTCTCGCGGTTCAAGGAGGCGGCGGGGGCAGCCGGGGAGCGGAGAGAGCAGAGCGAGGGGTCGTGGGCGGTGACGGAAATGATGGCGGAGGGGGAAGCGGCGGAGGGGGAGGCGGCCGGGGGGGGCGGGGATGTCGCGCCGGGCATTGCGGGTGCGGTGGGGCGCAGGTTGCTGGGCGAGAGAAGACTCGGCGGGTGATACGCCACGGGCTGCTGCGCTGTCGCTGGTCGGGACTGCCGCGGCTGAAAGCCGCGCGCGCAGGCTCAGTGGCGCGGGAAGCTGGTAGCCAGCAGCGGGGAGTGAGTTGCGCCATGGGTGCGCCCGTTTATACTCGCTCGTACTCGGCCTAGTCTCATGGCCAACAAAAGACCTCCCACGACTCCTAGTACCCACTAGTAGGTCCCTTGCAGTGATGGTTGTTGTCTGTGCCATAGGTAAATTATGTATCATGGACGTGTATCATTATTTTTTCGCAAGACTAGCCCAGTGAGGCAATCACCCACTCCACACCTGAAGCAGATGGGGACAAATATGTACAGATGGATTGTTGGACAACCCACAGATAGATTGTTGGAAGGATGTGCTGATAGGTTGCTCTTTTGAGGCACCTGGTTAGACTGTTGGGAAGATGTGCTGGTAAATACCAGCTCTCATGCAACAGGTGGAAGAGGGCAAGAGAGGGCAGCTCATGCGAAATGGGCTGACGAACAATGTACAGTGAGATGTTATACATTTTATCTCCTCACTCCAAGCCTGAACCTGCCCCCCTGCACAGCTCCAAACTTACCCATCGAAACAGGCAGCACATGCTCCCCTCCCCCTCGCACCCCTGTCCCTGCACCTGCCACTTGCCTCCTGCCCCGCGCTGCGTGCGCCACCACCTTCCTGGGCTGCCCCACCGCGTTGATCACGCGCACAAACACGCCGCTCCCTCCTGCTGCTGACTCAAGCCCTTCACCCTGCGACCCGTTCACCTGCGCTCGCCCAAACCTGGGGGCCAGGTCGGCATCTGGCGGTTGGTACTCGTTGATTACTGTGCCATCGTGCCCCGCCCTTCCTCCTGCAGCCGGCTCTGCTGCCGTTGAACCTCGTGTCTGCCGCACATCTGCCCCCCGTGCAACCTCCTCTACTGCTGCTCTCCCCACTGGTGCGCTCTCTGCGGCTGCCTCATCTGCCGCACCTGCTCCTAGGCTGGGGGAGGAGGATATTGTGGTGGGGAGAGTTGGATCGTCAGGATTCGCTGGCACAGCTGGTCCACCTGTGGATGCTGCAGCTGCAGCTGCTGTTGGTGTGGACGGCGCGGGTGATGGGGGTGATGCTAATTGCTGGGACGGTGCTGCTGGCCTCACTGGCAGCAGCCCGCAGGATGACAGTCCCAGCCATCTCACCAGCCGCCTCTGCCCCTTCCGCTGTGCACCCACCACGCCTCCTGCTGCTGCTGCCGCTGGCCCTTCATGCTCAGATGCCGTTGCTTCGTTGGATGCTGACCCTTCTGCTGCCCCTGATGCACCTTCCGCTCCACCTGCATGCACTGCTGCATGCACTGCTGCATGCCCAGAGTCATCCGCGCCTCTCGATGCACCTGCTGACTCTCTTACAGCTCCCACCTCGCTTGAATTTGTTCCCTCGCATGCACCTTGTGCTTCTCTCACAGCAGCCTCAACCTCCACCGCACTGCACTCCTCCTCACCACACCGCGCTGCTCCCCCCCCTTCCCTCACACCACTACCGCCCTCCACCACACCCCCCTCCCCTCCACTGCCTCCTGCCCCTCTGCCCTCCTCCCTGCTGCCCTCCTCTCCCCCTTTCCCGTCAGCAGTGCCGGCCGTACCCACAGCACCGCCCCCTTTGGTTCGTCCACTGGCCTCGGCAGCGTCCCCCTCGGGCCCCTCGCCCCGCTGCCCCCTTGCAGCAGGCGCCCCTCTGCTGCTGTGGTCGGGCTCAGCAGTGCCCCACATGCCCCTCAGCCTCAGCCGCCTGGCCGCCCTCACGTGCCGCGGCTCAGGCGACGCCATGCCGGGGGGGAGCGCAGGGGATGGCGCGCTTGCGAATGGTGACATGGACGCATGGCCAGGCGCGGGCGTGTATGGCGTGTAGGGCGACATGGACACGGACTTGCTGATGGGGGCGGGGAGCGACGGGGACATGGTGAAAGAGAGTGACTCGAATGGCATGCGCATGCTCCCTCCCATCCTTCGCAGTCTCACCCATGCCCCACTCTCTTGCACTCTCATCTCACTCCCCCCCTCTCCTCCCTCTCTCCCCTCATCTCCTCCATCCGCCCCATCCCCTCCCACTCGTGCAGCCGGCGTGTTGGCTGCGCTGGCTGCTTTCCCCGCCCTCCCCCTCATCTCCCGCTGCTTCCTGCGCTTCGGCCCGATGTCCTCCCCACTGCCCCCACCACCAGCGCTGCTGCTGCCATCCCCGCCACTGGTGCTGGGGCGGCTCACGCCCTTCCCCAGGGACCACCGCAGCGAGGCAGAGCCCGCTGCTGGCACGGCGGAGGCGGAGGCGGTGCGGGCGAGCGAGCGCGAGTGGCGCGCAAACTGCAGCTCCGCCACGGCTGCCGCCGCCTGCTCGTCTGAGCGCGCGTACACCTTCCGACCCACGCGCGCGGGCGGGGTGTGGCTGGCGGAGCGCTGCACGCCCAGCGCATGTGCGCCCACCCCGTGAGCGTGAGGGAGCACATGGGATGGCATGCGAGGCTCAGGGCTTGCTGAGGGGGAAAATGCTGCTGCCTGGGAAGGCATGTCCGGGACTGCAGTGGCGGGGGTGCGAGGCGCGTGCGACTGTGCTTGTGCTTTGCGCCGAAAATCGTCGCCCTGAGCGGAGGAAAGGCAGAGAGAGGTGTGTGCGAGTGAGGGAGACGCAGGCGATACGACTGGCTGCATGCGATGTGACGGCTCGCCGTGACATGGTATGGTATGGCATGGTATGGCATGGTATGGTATGGCATGGTATGGCATGGCATGGCATGGGAATGGACGCAACAATGACACTGCGCATGCCATATAGAAGGATGATCCAGACAAGGGCAACTCACAGCGCGCGCCATGCGTGGGTGCGTGTGCGCCAGGAAGTGCTGCTGTTGCCCGATCACCGACCCCGGGCGCACGAGGCGCGTGTATGCGATGGCCTGGCAGGGGGGTGGGGGGAGGGGAACGGGGGGGAATGTGGCGATGGGTTGGCTTGAGGACTAAGGTGGCGGCATCATGGCAAGTGCTGTGTGTGACGGACATGGCACATGATACATGAGCGCAAGCGTGCCCTGCAACATGCATCTGCATCCATGTTCTCGCCCTCGTGTGCCATCTGCTACTCTCACGTCCCTCCCCCTTGGCCTCACATCCCGCCCATGCGCTCACCTCCCTGGCCGTCATGCCGCAGTGCTTCATGAGGTAGCACCCCACCAACACGCCCGTGCGCCCCAGACCGGCCTGAGGGGGCAGCATGGGAGCAGGGGACGGGGGGAAGGAGGGAAGGCTGGGCTGGTGTGAGGAAACTAGTGAGGAGTGCTCCAGTGTGGGAGGTCAAGAGGGCAAGCACAGTGCATGCTGCACTGCCTGCCAGCCAACCTGCTACCGCTACTTGCTTGCGGTTCAACTCGGGGTGGGTGGGGATCCACGATTCACACTGCACCACGTCACGCCGAAACGAGGAGTGAGAGCACCACCAGGTGCCTGCAGCAGCTTCAGTGGAGGCCTAGCACGCACCTCAGCGGCGCACCTTACAGTGGATGGCCACGGGTCCGTTGCTGCCCTCCACCACGGCAAAGAAGCGCTCCAAGATGCCGTCCGAGGGGGCGCTGAGGGGGGGGAGCAGGGGAGAGGACCACCGAGGCCACCTGTGAACAGGCATGGGGGTACGGTTGACCGAAACGTGTGGGCGGTGGGCGGTGGGCGGTGGGCGGTGGGCGGTGGGCGGTGGACGGCCTCCTCTTTCGAGAGGTTTTCTCTTTCCACTAGGACACTATTTGCGGTACATTAGCCAAGTCATGTCTTGAAGAGCGTTCTTCGCCATTGCTTGCCATCTCCATCACTCTCCCTGCCTCTGGCCCTGCCACTTACCCGCCATCGGTGAAGTAGAGGTCGTAGAACGCAAAGCCATGGCGGGTGAAGCGCCTCTTGTCGTACACACGCCTATTGAGGCGGATGATGGCTGCTATCCCCGCCTGCATGCATGCACGCACGAATGTGCCGTGCAGTGTGATGGTGTGTGTGTCACGTGTGATGGGATGTTGGAGACATGCAGAGCATGCAGGCAGGAGATAATGGGTGCTAGCATGTTGAAGCATATCCTGTCACTGTTCCTGTCCCTCTCTTATTCCCTTAAGGCTGCCACCCTAAAGCATATCCTCGCCAGTCCAACTCTTACCATTCCAATTTCCAACACTGATCCGTCCACCCATCCCGACTCCATTACCCTCCTCTTTTATACAACCTCCTCCTCCCTAGGAACCCCAGTTATCCCCTCCAGCCACTCCTCTTTTTCTCGTTGCCTACCGATTTATCGTGACCTAGTTCTCCTCTCTACCGTGCCCCTACATGTTTGTCTCAAGCCTCCCCATGCACACCTGGCGGAAGTACTGCACATAGTCTTCAGGTGCTAGATAGCCCTCCTGCCACATGAGGGGCACGCAGGGGCAAGTGCAAGCAGGAGATGAGACCACAGGAAACGTACTAAGCCACTCAGCGGCCCATGCCACCCTCCCTGCCACCCACCATGCCACCCACCATGCCACCCACCACGGCACTGGCAGCGTCGTCAGCGGGCGTGCTGAACGCCAGCAGTCTTCCTGGCACCATCCACGTCAGATCCGCCTGCTCCAGGCGCTCGTACTCAAGCACACTGAACCCCGCCGTCAGCCCCACCCGTTGGGCGCGCTCCAGAGCCTGCAGGCGTTCGAACAGGGGGGGGGAGGACACAGGGAGAGATTTGTAGGTCCGCCTGCTCCTGCTGCTCGTACTCGAGCACGCTGAACCCCGCCGTCAGCCCCACCTGCTGGGCGCGTTCTAGGGCGTGGGGGGTTCGGAGAGAAGGACGTGGGGGGGGCAGAGAGGGGATGAGTTGAGTGAGGAGTAAGGAAGAAGAGCATGAGAACGAAACTGAGGGGTGAGAGTGGGGAGGACGTGAGGTGAAGGTTGCGGCAGTAGAGCCTGGATTGCTCCTTGTGCACCATCGGGCGGCATGCCCCAACCGGAAGGGGGCAGGGGCCTCGGGTGATGGAGCACGTTGCATGAGGCGCACGCCACACCACTCCCACCTTGCAGCAGTCGAGCACGGCGAGGTGGAAGGTGCACGCGCCGCTGGACGCGTCTCTGAAGGCCGCCAGGGGCTCCAGCGGCCGCAGCACAGCATGGGCGGCATCGGCTGGCAGGGCATGGCGCAGGATGAGGTACGCTGCCAGCTGGGGGGGGGGGTGGGGGGGAAGGAGATGGTGGGGGGGAAGGAGATGGTGGGGGGGAAGGAGATGGTGGGAGGGAAGGAGATGGTGGGGGACAGAGAAAGGAAAGAGGGAGGGGGCGCGCAGCAAAGGGACAGTGCGCAAGGTAGAGGTGGGGAGAAGGGGGCATGAAGCACGTGTGAGGCATGAAGCACGTGGGGGGCATGAAGCACGTGTGAGGCATGAAGCACGTGTGAGGCACGAAGCACGTGTGAGGCATGAAGCACGTGTGAGGCATGAAGCACGTGTGAGGCATGAAGCACGTGTGAGGCATGAAGCACGTGTGAGGCATGAAGCACGTGTGAGGCATGAAGCACGTGTGAGGCATGAAGCACGTGTGAGGCATGAAGCACGTGTGAGGCATGAAGCACGTGTGAGGCATGAAGCAGGCATGAAGCACGTGTGAGGCATGACGCACGTGTGAGGCATGAAGCACGTGTGAGGCATGAAGCACGTGTGAGGCATGAAGCACGTGTGAGGCATGAAGCACGTGTGAGGCATGAAGCACGTGTGAGGCATGAAGCACGTGTGAGGCATGAAGCACGTGTGAGGCATGGGCCAACGGTGGGGACCGCAGCAGCGTACGTTTCACATCAACAGCGCAGCATGCACTGCACGCACAGATGCATGGGGATGTGAGTGGAACCCGATAAAGGAGCGCAGCAGAGGGCGAGAGAAGGGAAGGGGAGCACTGACAAGCACGGCGGCGTTGGCCTTCTTGTGCGGCGCGCTGCTGCAGATGTGCACCACCCGCCGCCCCTCACCCCGCGCCTCCTGCACGCGCAAGACATGGAGCATGGCATGGTCACATGACATGGCATGGTAAGAGGGCACGAGTGGCATGGCATGGCATGGAGGCACCGGATTGAATGCATGCCATGTCACCTCATGAGGCAGTGGCAGGGACACGAAGGCACATGGTGAAACGAAATCGACCAGGCAGCACAAGGCCGTGCACTGGACCTGCCTGCAGTGCACTGGAGGCATGGCTTGGCACCTGCCTGCATGGCGTGGTCCATCTGGTCACAGTAGCGGTGCACGCATGCCATGCTGAGCGGCCCGAAGTCAGAGCAGTACGGCTCGTACACCTGGTGGGAGGGAGGAGGGGGGGAGGGTTTGGGTGGATGGATAGGGATGGCTCACACGGCACCATGTCATGACGGCACTGCCATGTCATGATGGCCCATGTCATGATGGCACTGCCATGTCATGACGGCACTGCCATGTCATGATGGCACTGCCATGTCATGACGGCACTGCCATGTCATGACGGCACCATGTCATGACGGCACTGCCACATGTGATAAATGGTGCCATATGCATGGCTCACGCACCAACAGCAACCACCATCATGCCAAGTCACCACTCACCCCCCACCAGCACCCACAAGCACCACCAACACCACCAGCACCACCAACACCTCCAGCACCACCAACACCTCCAGCACCACCAACACCTCCAGCACCACCAACACCTCCAGCACCAACCACCAGCACCACCGGAACCACCCACCAGCACCACCCAGCAGCACCACTCAGCACCCACCAGCTCGTCATCGATATTGACGCACACGGCGCCCCTGCCCCTCTCACAGCGCGACAGCAGCTGCGGCCGCCGGCACGCCACCAGACTCAGCTGCCCGGCAATCGCCTCGCACCACGCACTCTCCCCACCCTCCCCACCCTCCCCGCTCTTCCCATTCTCACGCCTCCTCCCCTTCTCCCCATCACTCCCCCCTACTCCCGCCTTCCTCCCTTTCTCCCCATCCCCTGACTCCGCGCACTCGCCGTTCCCCGTGTCCTCCCCCTCCCCCGCCTCGTTCTCCGCCATCTGATCCCCCCTCACTGCTCCGCCTCCCCCCTCCGCGCGTTTCCCCCGCGTCTCACTGAGAGACGACGATTCTGCAGGCCCATTCGACGTAGCCGATGACACGTGGCCGCTGGCGGTTCGTTGAGCGAAAAGGTGCCCTGGAGCGTTGCGCGCCGAGCTGGCCTCATCGGCGGGGCAGTAGCCGGGGGAAGCGCTGGGGCATCCCGCGGAGGGGGAGGCTGGGGGAAGCGCGGGAGAGGCGAAGAAGCGGCGGGGCATTGCTGGGACGGTCATGCGGAGCCGCGAGGCGGCATCGTCACGATAGCCGGCACGTGACGTGGCATTGCTTCAGTAGTAAAGAAAGGCGTGGCTCTCTCGAAATCGGGAAGACACGATGCGTGAGATTCATCCTATACTGCCTGTGAGTACCAGGTCGCACTGAGGTAGGCCTTAGAATGCCGTCATCTACGGTGGAATATGTATGCCAGGAGGGGGATACACCTACCGTGTAGGCCTGGAAGGTACACCGACCAGGCAAAACAAGACACCGAACGAAATATTTGCGTTTGAATTGACTCCGCTATCATTTGACATCATGTTACAAGTGCGCAAAAAAGACATTCTAGGATTCTACAGCTGTAGACTTTCAACTTATGATGACTTGTAAAACCTATAGATTATGAGAGTCCTCTACATGTGGGCACTATTCAGTAACTAGATGCAGATTTAAAAGCGACCATCTAAAAATCCCTGAGGACCAAAACCTAAGGGTTTGATCCCTCCCCTACCAAAGTCAACATGGTCCTGCCAACGAATATAATTGTAGTTTAGCTAGGGTATATTTGTATATAGCCTAGTAGGTCAGTTCTTAGAGGGTCTAGCCCTACTCTTGTACCCTTAGACACTTTTCCCTTAGTCATTTGTTTTCAATTCTCTTGATAACCTAACATGGCATCAGAGCTAGGTAGGCTTTCTGCACTATACGCTTCCGCTGGTGTATCGATTTTTTTTTCCCACCTCCCGCTCTTCGATTTCGCGCTTTGTAGGTCCCCCCCCCTTCAGCGCTCACTCGATTTCGTACGCCAACCAGCCGGCCAGCCAGCCAACTCGCTCCCTCCCTCGTTAGTTAATTAGCCCGCCAGCCCGCTCTCTAGCTCGCCAGCGCCAACTACGCCTGCCTACCGTTTCGCCCTTAACCAGTTATTTCGCGCCTACTGGTCGCCATCAGCCCTTGCTCGCATCTCGCGTCCCTTCCTAGCTAGCTTGCAGCTAGCAGAGCCAGCTAGCTTGCAGCTAGCAGAGCCAGCTAGCTTGCTGCCAGCAGAGCCAGCTAGTTCGCCGCCAGCAGAGCCAGCTAGCTCGCCGCCAGTAGAGCCAGCTAGCTCACCGCCACTGCCACCGCGGCCCTTGCAGCTGCCACTGCCGCCGCTGCCTTTGCAGCTGCCACTGCCGCTGCTACCCTTGCAGCCGCCACTGTCGTCACTGCCCTTGCAGCTGCCACTGCTGCCGCTGCCCTTGCCGCCGCCACTGCCGCCGCTGCCTTTGCAGCTGCTGCTGCCGCCGCTGCCCTTGTAGCCAACCCTGCCGGCGCTGCCCCTGCAGCCACCGCTGCTGCCACTGCCGCAGCTGCCCTTGCAGATCAAAGCCGCCGCTGCCCTTGCAGCAGCCACTGCCCGTGCAGCTGCCGCTGCCCTTACAGCCACCACTGCCGCTGCCCTTGCAGCTGCCGCTGCTGCCGCTGCCCTTGCAGCCGCCACTGCCGCTGCAGCCGCTGCTGCCGCTGTCTCTCTCCCACTGCAGCCGCTGCCCTTGCCGCTGCTGCTGCTTCTCCAGCCGCAGCCACCACTTCAGCTGCTCTTGCTGCCAGCAGCTACTGCCACTGCAACCGCTGCTGCCGCCACTGCCGCAGCTAGCCCGCAGCCGCCGCCGCTAGCCAGCTTGCAGCGCCGCCGCCGCCAGCCAGCTCACTGCTGGCCTGCCGCCGTCTCCACCCTGCCACCAGCTCGCAGCCGCCGCTGCCACCAACTCCCACTGAAGCACCTGTTCCTGCTGCCCCTGTAGCAGCTGCTGCCGCAGTCCCTGCTTCTGCAGCCTCAATCTTCACAACCGCAGTTGCCACCACAGCTGCCAACATGTCGTCGCCCGGCGTCTTCATTTTGCGCCTGGATGGAGAGGGGCGCGCGGTCGGTTTCACGACCTGGCAGGAGGCGATTCTCCTGCAGCTCACAAGTCAGCGCGTCGACGACGATCCCCTGTACGCCCACGTCACTGGTGAGCTCCCTGCTGTCCCCGCCCGGGCACTCTCGCTCCTGACGTGATATGTTGTGCATGCTGCTTCTCGTACTGCCTACTCTGTCTGGGTGTCTCGCGATGCCACTTCTCGTGTTGCCATCCTCAGGTGCCTGCCTGTTAATGAGCACTCTCACTTTGTGGTTGCTGAGTTGGCCCGCGCCCTCTGGAAGGCCATCCTTGCTAGGTACTTTACTCCCTCGCCTGCCACTCTTGGTCGTCTCCTCCTCCCTTTCTTCCACTCCGACCTGGCATCCTTCACCACTGTAGCAGACTTAGTTGAGCACCTGCGCTCCCTCGAGGCCCGCTGGTGTGCGGCACATACTGCGGCCCAGTTGGCGCTCGCCCCGCCCCCCCTCTATGCCACTATCTAACTTCCTTGTCACCCGCCTCCCTAACCGCCTTGCCCCTGCCCGCGACGCTCTCCTCGCTTGTCACCTCTCTGAGCTCACCCTTGACCTCTTCTCTACCTCCTTGACTGAGGTAGAGGACCGCCTCCGTGCCATCGCTGATTTCACTGGCGCGCCGGCAGTCCCTATCTTTCAGGGCAGCGCTCCCTCCCAGGTGACTGTCCCTCCTGCCTCCGCCTCCGTCGCCGAGACTGCAGCGGCTGCCCCTGCCCCCGGCGCTCCTCTGGCGGCAAGGGCAAGGGCGAGGGGGGGCAGGGGTCGTGGGGGGTGCGGGTGCGGACGGAGAGGGTGGTGAGTCAGAGTCGGGGATTGCGCAGCAGCAGAAGCCGTTGCAGCAGCTGCAACAGCTGCCGTGGGGGCTGGCGGTTCCTGGGGGTGGTGGTCGCGGTGGAGGCCGTGGGGGTTGGACCCCTAGGCAGTCGGTACCCTGTGGGCCGAGTGGCTTTTCAGTGAGCCAGCAAGTTGGTGGTCCTGGAGGCGCGGCGACCTGCACGTACAAGGTGCTGACCGGCCCGCAGGCGGGCCAGGTTTGCAAGCCCACGGGGCACACCGCCGCTCGCTGCTACTGCCACGTGGACAACCTCTACCGTCGTCACTTCGCCCCCCTAGTACAGGTACCCCCCTGGTGCATGTACCTGGATATGGTTCAGATAGGTCATGCCCTGTATTCTTTGTATGCTCATGACTCTAGTGCTATTGGTTCTTAATATCCTGCTCTATTAAGCCTATGAGCTATTGTTGTATGTAGTATAGGATCCCCTGCTGCGTCAGACGTAGATTCCCCTGATGCGTCAGGCATACGCGCTGTTAGAGTTATGTCACTAGGCCCAGCCACGTCAGCCCTCTCCTTAATCCTGAACTCTGGCGCATCTTGTTGCTCCTTTAGAGACAGTATTGCTCTCACCCCACATCCTGCATCTGTCTGCTTGCACTAGCAAACTCCTCTGCCACAGCTGTTGCACACTCCCCTGTCCAGCTGTCCCTTCCGGCTCCCTCACTGGTCTACACATCCCCTCGTTTGCCAGGAACTTAGTGGGTGTCGGTAACCTCCACGACCAAGGCGTCACCACTACGTTCCCTGGCCGCGAGCGCCACACCGCTTGCACAGACACAGCCACCGGTCGCCACCTAGCCACTTTTGAGCGTGACCCAGGGTCTGGTCTCTTTACCCTGCACACTGAATCACCGCCAGTTGCTGCGTCTGCTGAGGTTTGCCGCGTCCTTCTCCTATCTCTCACTGGCCCACCCGACCCTACTATGGCACCATCGTTTAGGTCACCCTACACTCCAGCGTCTTAGGCATATGTCTCAGCACGGTCTAGTCACTGGTCTCCCTGCGTCGCACCACTGTGCACCTCCTACATCGAGGGCCGGCAGTGCGCCGCCCCTCACTCCTCCTTGTTTCCTCCCACCAGAGCCCCGCTACAGACACTGTACATGGACGTCTGGAGCCTTGCCCCGGTCCATGGTCTTGGTCGGGAGCGCTACTTCCTAGTCGTCAACGTCGTCGTTGACGACTTCTCGCGCTTCACCACAGTGTTCCTGTTGGAGCGGAAGGCCGACGTGCCTACCGTTCTCCTCCCGTGGATTCTTACTGTCTGCACCCAGCACCACCTACCTGTAGTTCGCTTACACTCTGACCGTGGTGACGAGTTTGCCTCTGAGCGTCTCTAGACGAGATGCTCCCCTATTACAAGTACTACCCTTACCGCAACACTCTTGTGCCTCGTCCTCCACTCTTCCTTGTCTCTTCCCCGCCCGCCACACCCCTCCCACCCCGCCTGGCCCCATCTGATGTCTCTCACGCCACTCCTCTCCCCTCAGTCAGGTCTGTGGGGGAGTCGGCTGACTCTGGGAGCCCAGCTGCTGAGGGCGCGCTTGCTGTCCCTTTGGGGCCTCCCCCAGCCTCGGTACCCCAGCCACCTCCGCTGCCTCCCCCATCGCCTCAGCTGCAGTAGACCACGCGGCCATGCACCAGCAGCAGAGGCAGGGGTCAGTGGGCTCTGGGGGTGCTGGTTCTGTGGGTGGTGCGTCCGAGGGTGCTAGTCCTGGGGGTGCTGCTTTGGGGAGTGCCAGTAATAGCCGAGGTGCAGCAGGAGGTCCTGGAGAGGACAGGGAGCAGCAGCCGCAGTACCCACAGCCGCAGTCGCCGCCACAGTAGCCGGAACAGCTGCAGTCTGCTCTTCGTCTCCTTGGTCTTGCACCCGGTTCCCCTGACCGACTGTCCGTCCCTCCTCTTGTGTGTGACCCTGTTTACAGCCCGATGTTCCTCCCCCGGACTCCTCTCCGCTCATTTTTCCCCGCGCTCTCCTCCGTCCCCTGACTTGTCCCCCTCCCCCCTTTATCCCCCAGTCACTTGTTCTTCACTCTTGTGCTCGTCCTAGTGTCCATCCTATGGTCCTTGATTCCTGTGCTCCTCCAATCCCCGTGCTTCTGTTACCTCCTTTGTTGTCGCTACTGCAATCCTCAGCTCCTCCCTCTTGCTCTGCTCGCACTACTTGTCCTACCCTCTTGTGTTTGCTTGCGTCATTTGTCACTGACCCTACCGCTCCTCCTGAGACCGTCTGTGCGCTTATCGCTGCTGTCGCTGACTTTGCTACTAGCCACCGCCTTGACTACGCTACCGCTGTAGTCTCTGGTAGTAGCTGCTCTTCGTCCGTCAAGGGTGCACCTGCCCTGGGTAGTGACGTGCTTTAGGACAAGCTGTATGAACTGCCCTACCTTGCTGTCACTGTACCCCATCTGTGCTCCATGCTTGTATCCCCAGAG